TTGAATTATTTCGAATCTTTCCGGTCTCGGGGGCAAAGATTTGAATATACCATTAGATAGAAGATTAACATAGGAACATATTCCAACAAAAAAATTGTGGTGACACCCGACGAGTTTTTGAACTTTTTGAGGTTCGAAACTGTTCAAATACACAAAAATTGAACTTTTTCAAAAAAATCGAATTATTTCGAATCTTTCCGGTCTTGGGGGCAAAGATTTGAATATACCATTGGATAGAAGACTAACATAGGAACATATTCCAACAAAAAAATTGTGGTGACACCTAACGAGTTTTTCGAACTTTTTGAGGTTCGAAACTGTTCAAATACACAAAAATTGAACTTTTTCATAAAAATCGAATTATTTCGAATCTTTTCGGTCTCGGGGGCAAAGATTTGAATATACCATTGGATAGAAGACTAACATAGGAACATATTCCAACAAAAAAATTGTGGTGACACCCGACGAGTTTTCGAACTTTTTGAGGTTCGAAACTGTTCAAATACACAAAAATTGAACTTTTTCATAAAAAATCGAATTATTTCGAATCTTTCCGGTCTTGGGGGCAAAGATTTGAATAAACCATTGGATAGAAGACTAACATAGGAACATATTCCAACAAAAAAATTGTGGTGACACCTAACGAGTTTTCGAACTTTTTGAGGTTCGAAACTGTTCAAATACACAAAAATTGAACTTTTTCATAAAAAATCGAATTATTTCGAATCTTTCCGGTCTCGGGGGCAAAGATTTGAACATACCATTGGGTAGAAAACTAAAATAGGAACATATTCCAACAAAAAAATTGTGGTGACACCCGACGAGTTTTCGAACTTTTTGAGGTTCGAAACTGTTCAAATACACAAAAATTGAACTTTTTCATAAAAAAATCGAATTATTTCGAATCTTTCCGGTTTCGGGGGCAAAGATTTGAATATACCATTGGATTGAAGACTAACATAGGAACATATTCCAACAAAAAAATTGTGGTGACACCCGACGAGTTTTCGAACTTTTTGAGGTTCGAAACTGTTCAAATACACAAAAATTGAACTTTTTCATAAAAATCGAATTATTTCGAATCTTTCCGGTCTCGGGGGCAAAGATTTGAATATACCATTGGGTAGAAAACTAAAATAGGAACATATTCCAACAAAAAAATTGTGGTGACACCCGACGAGTTTTCGAACTTTTTGAGGTTCGAAACTGTTCAAATACACAAAAATTGAACTTTTTCATAAAAAAATCGAATTATTTCGAATCTTTCCGGTCTCGGGGGCAAAGATTTGAATATACCATTGGATTGAAGACTAACATAGGAACATATTCCAACAAAAAAATTGTGGTGACACCCGACGAGTTTTCGAACTTTTTGAGGTTCGAAACTGTTCAAATACACAAAATTTGAACTTTTTCATAAAAAAATCGAATTATTTCGAATCTTTCCGGTTTCGGGGGCAAAGATTTGAATATACCATTGGATTGAAGACTAACATAGGAACATATTCATACAAAAAAATTGTGGTGACACCCGACGAGTTTTCGAACTTTTTGAGGTTCGAAACTGTTCAAATACACAAAAATTGAACTTTTTCATAAAAAATCGAATTATTTCGAATCTTTCCGGTCTCGGGGGCAAAGATTTGAATATACCATTGGGTAGAAAACTAAAATAGGAACATATTCCAACAAAAAAATTGTGGTGACACCCGACGAGTTTTCGAACTTTTTGAGGTTCGAAACTGTTCAAATACACAAAAATTGAACTTTTTCATAAAAAAATCGAATTATTTCGAATCTTTCCGGTCTCGGGGGCAAAGATTTGAATATACCATTGGATTGAAGACTAACATAGGAACATATTCCAACAAAAAAATTGTGGTGACACCCGACGAGTTTTCGAACTTTTTGAGGTTCGAAACTGTTCAAATACACAAAAATTGAACTTTTTCATAAAAAATCGAATTATTTCGAATCTTTTCGGTCTCGGGGGCAAAGATTTGAATATACCATTGGATAGAAGACTAAAATAGGAACATATTCCAACAAAAAAATTGTGGTGACACCCGACGAGTTTTCGAACTTTTTGAGGTTCGCAACTGTTCAAATACACAAAAATTGAACTTTTTCATAAAAAATCGAATTATTTCGAATCTTTCCGGTCTCGGGGGCAAAGATTTGAATATACCATTGGATAGAAGACTAAAATAGGAACATATTCCAACAAAAAAATTGTGGTGACACCCAACGAGTTTTCGAACTTTTTGAGGTTCGAAACTGTTCAAATACACAAAAATTGAACTTTTTCATAAAAAAATCGAAAAATTTCGAATCTTTCCGGTCTCGGGGGCAAAGATTTGAATATACCATTGGATAGAAGACTAACATAGGAACATATTCCAACAAAAAAATTGTCGTGACACCCGACGAGTTTTCGAACTTTTTGAGGTTCGAAACTGTTCAAATACACAAAAATTGAACTTTTTAATAGAAAATCGAATTATTTCGAATCTTTCCGGTCTCGGGAGCAAAGGTTTGAATATACCATTGGATAGAAGACTAACATAGGAACATATTCCAACAAAAAAATTGTTGTGACATCCAATGAGTTTTTGAACTTTTTGAGGTTCGAAAATGTTCAAATACACAAAAATTAAACTTTTTCATGAAAAATCTAATTATTTCGAATGTTTCCGGTCTTGGGGGCAAAAATTTGAAAACACCATTGGATAGAGGACTAATAAAAGAATTTATTTCAACAAAAAAATTGTAGTGACATTCGACAAGTTTTTACACTTTTTGAGGTTCGAAAGTGGTCAATTTCGCTAAAACTGAACTTTTCACTCGAAAAATCGATTTATTTTGAATCTTTCCGGTCTCGGAGGTAAAAATTTGAAAACACCATTGGATACTGACTAATGGAACAACTTATTCCAACAAAAAAATTGTAGTGACACCATTGAAGACCGGAGACCGGAAAGATTCGAAATAATTCGATATTTTGTGAAAAAGGTAAATTTTTTCATACTTGAACATTTTTGAACCTTAAAAAGTTCGAAAACTCGTCGGATGTCACCACAATTTTTGTTGTTGGAATATATTATTATGTTAGTCCTCTATCCAATGGTAAATTCAAGTCTTTGCCCCCAAGACCGGAAAGATTCGAAATATATCGATTTTTCATGAAAAAGTTCAATTTTTGTGTATTTGAACAGTTTCGAACCTCAAAAAGTTCGAAAACTCGTCGGATGTCACCACAATTTTTTTGTTGAAATATGTTTTTATGTTAGTCCTTTATTCAATGGTATATTCAAATCTTCGCCCCCAAAACCGGAAAGATTCGAAGTAATTCGATATTTTGTGAAAAAGTTCAATTTTTTCATACTTGAACATTTTCGAACCTCAAAAAGTTCGAAAACTCGTTGGGTGTCACCACAATTTTTTTGTTGGAATATGTTCCTATGTTAGTCTTCTATCCAATGGTATATTCAAATCTTCGCCCCCGAGACGGGAAAGATTCGAAATAATTCGATTTTTTATGAAAAAGTTCAATTTTTGTGTATTTGAACACTTTCGAACCTCAAAAAGTTGGAAAATCACTCAATTTTTTTTGTCGGAATATGTTCTTTGGTTAATCCTCTAGCCAATGGTATATTCAAATCTTTTCCTCCGAGACCGGAAAGATTTGAAATAATTCTATTTTTAATGAAAAAATTCAATTTTCACATAATTGAACTTTTTTTTCAAATATTGAATGTTTCCATATCATGTCATTATAATAAGTTGCAGTAATATTCCCAAATCAACATCTGAATATAAATCCTCCGATAGCGTGATGTCCCAAAGTATTAGTTTTCGTAGAAAGTCAGAAAGTACATTTTGTTAGACCAGGAAACACTTTAATATGAAATTCGGGAATACGAGTTTGATATTTGGCTGGTATTTGGCTGGCATGACAGTGGTGTTCAGCTGAAATTGATTCATTTTCCCGGCAATTGTGTCTATTTTGTGCCATCAATTGCCGGACTTTGAGAGGTTCTGGCACTGAGTTAAACATGGATATATGTAATTTAGTAATCTGTGAACGTTTAGGATGCCTTAACTTACGGTGAAACATTGTCAGAACGTCAGCCCACACTCGTGTGACGCTAGCCCACACTCGTGGGATGCCAGTAGCCCACACTCGTGTGACGCTGGCCCACACTCGTTTTTGTCAGGCCATACTAGGGGTAACTGGGCCGTGCTTGGTATTGTATTTGCGTTGTGTATATCAGATATGGTCTCTATATTGTCAGAGTCACCAAGTTTTTATGTAATTACGTTTATAAAGTCAGTAAAATAGTTGGTTAACCCCTTGACGTCAGGCTGAGTGTGGGCTGGGGTAACTTTGGTACTTCAGCCTGTGGGTGCCAAACTATCTGTAAGCCATGTAGGTCTGTAGGTACAGTTGATTAATGATATGACATGGTGATCATTGTGATGTGAAAGTACACAGTCCAGATAATTCAAATCTTCTTTTATTTGCCCAACCAGCCAACCCTGCCTAACTTAGATACAATATCTGCTTTATGACAATATTACAGTATTATGGAATTTCAGGAAGTTTTATAGTAGTAAAAGTGTTTATAAAACAGTCACGGAGGGCATATTGATATAGCTTTGTATTATTTTCAGATTTGAAAAATCAAATACAGTATGTTTCATATTCAAGAACTTTGAACTTGAAAATTTGCATTCATCGTTGAAACTATTTTATATTGTTGTTGCAGAAAAGTTTCAATCAATTTAGTTCGAACATACATTTTTGTCTATAATTCGTAATTGAATTGAACATATTTTTCATTACATTGTCAAATTTCATTTGCTTCAAATAACACTTTTCCTTATATTGGATTGAAAATAATATATACTGGTACGCATAAAATCAAGAATATATCTGTATATAGTAGGCTAGTAAATGTAACTAATCTATGATATAAATATTTTGGCATATATATTACAGATTTTATATAGCAGGTTAGGGTTATCAAATATGGATGTATCACAACTTTTCTTCATGAATCAAGCTCCTTGTGACTTTTTTCCAGAAAGAACATTGAATAATAACTATGAGTTCTCTTCTAATATGATGGGGGCAGTTACAGGTAAGATGAATTTTTAAAATGAAGAATTGGCAACTGAAGATGTTTACATAGCTGGCGATGTAAGCAATTGAAGTTTCAGCTAATGTATTTCGTCCGAAGTTAGGCACTTTGACTGTATCTGTGTACAGAGTTATTAAATTTCAGTTATCAATAAATCTGTCTGTGATATTTTTGACTATGAATATTTTTGCCAGTGTTTTCTATTTTGTTTTACAAGATCAACAACAAGGATCGTGTTTTGATGATTTGGAAGAAGAAAATGAAAAACAAGAAAAAGAGTTATATCTGTGTAGTGAATTAGGAGTATTCCTTGCTCAAGAACTTGAAGAACTTTTGATGCAACAAAAAAATTTAGTCAATGATCATACTAGAATGCTTCTTGATCTACAGGTAACTGCATCACATATAAATTAAACAAGTATCATTTTTGGAAATCATTTTATCAGATGAAGCATCATTTATGTAAAAAAAAATTAAATAAAGTTGTGTATTATTAGTTTCAGTACATCATAACCCTGAAATTAATGCATATTTTTGGGGAAGGATGAGTCTGTAATGTTATCTACTCATGCTGGGTTGACCCCAAAACTTTAATAATCTCCCTGCATATCAAGCAAGTTTGATAAGCAAATTTGATTGACTAGAGGCAACACATCTGAGCACTTGAGCTATTACAAATGGGCATCTGTATGTTTAATTTAGAACAATTTTTCTCTCTTTTTTTTGCTATCACTTCATTTCTTTTTTATCCAGTCATATGAAACTTCCAAAAAGTCCTTCCTCGACCTTGCTGATATGGATGCTGCTTCAGAATTAAATGACACACTCAGTACACTCAGTTGTTTTTCTCCTGATAGTGAACTTTCATCCGAGCTTCAATTCATCAAAAAACGTTTCCATCAATCATCTAGCTGTAGTGGAATAGACAGTGTGGACAAACTGACCAACCTACAATCACAGGTTTATATATAATTATCATGTTATTTGTAATTAACCCACACAGTAGTGAATTTAACTATTATATAAGATTCCAGTTTGAAAATATATTGCCTTTATATTTGATGTACCGGTTACCTTAATGAGTGTAATGTTCAAATACTAACTTTCAACATATTTGTAACCAGCATGACACTGTATTGGAAACGTTAATATTTGGTTAAAAATTGAATAATTAGCACCAAAAAGCAATAAACTATAATTGTACATATTATATTTTGTCAAAAACTTATGAAATATTTTTTTTTATCCAATGTTAATAGTTTACATATATATTTTTTTTTAAATTGGTATATATCCCATGTCACCTATGAATCGGATAGATTCTGGCCCATCCAAAATAGAGTGTTTTCTCACAAGCAGTAGCTCCTTGTACAGAGCCTTGTCCAGAGTAAAAGGTTATTAATTAAAAAAAAAATTTGGTATTTACCGGTATATGAAAAATAATTGAAAAATTTTGTAGAAAAATATTCATATTTGTCTATATTTTAGCGTCACCCGATTCGTTCAGTCATTCACTTTGTAAGTATCAATGGCAGTTAATGAGCATGCTGGTTTATGTTCAAATACAGATGGATCCATTTCATTACTGATTGAGATGGATCACTGTTCATGCTTTTGCTAAATTCATTTCATTTCTTTCGTTAGAGTAAGAAGGGCAATTATGATACCTAATTCTAATGCATTGCGGGTAAATCGTATTGATCATTCCACACTTTTTCCCTAATTTCAATCTACTTTGATTACATTAAATGATGTTTTTAGATTTATGCACTAAACACAGATGGGCCAAGGATGAATTACACTACTATTGTGTGATTCAACTATGGCACACTAGCTAATGCATTGAACTTTGATGCATGGATAGTAATCATCATATCCATATGCATTCATCCATCATGATTTATGGAAGTTTGAAACTTAGCTTTATGATATTTAAGGTAGTTACTAGTTTCATTAGAATTTAGTCGTTGATAATGTTTTTTTTTGTATTCGAAAACTCAAGTATATCAAGCAAAAGATAATTTATTAGGGTCATTAAAATGCTTGAACTGTGAAGTCAATCATTTGTAACCTCAGGGCATCAAAGATGTGATTACAATTCACAGTTACATCACAGTATGATAGCTGTTAGATGTCTCGCTTAAACTTATTTTTCTTCATTATGTTATTTTTAAATCTATTATAGGAGGACTTGTTCTGTATGTGGCCAAGGTCAACACTTATAACCCAATTTTTATACTGCCCCATTTTTCGAATAAAATATGATGTGGATTTTATTTAATCCTATATTCTGGGTGTGCTAGTTATGACTCACAACTATAAGTTTAAAATGAAATACATCTGATATGCAACGTATTTTTGCCTCAGGGTACTATATAAGACCGGTATATCACAATGATGCAATTTGTTTATTATTAGTCTTCTTAGGCATCTATAAATAGTCAAAAGTACATATATGGTTGTGCAGATAGCTACATATAAATTTGGTTATTTGCTCAAAAGTTATACCTGATAAAATTTTATGAATAAATAAGTGCATGTTTGTGTTTTAGACTGAAGCTGGTTTTTTAATTTATTGTCAATTAGTCGACATGCATATTTGCTTATTAATCTATAAAGTGGGTCATTACATTAGTACTTGAAAAATGTTCAATTATGTCTCATTAGCTGATGAATAATTTAGAATATATTTTCATTTGAATATCCTCCGATATATCTTCAATATACATTACTTTTTCATCGTACAATCAAAACTTACTGTAGTAAAAACTTCACTTTCTTCTAGAATGATAATCAGTGAATATGACTTATTCCTTCAGAATTTTTTTTTTTAAAATAACTCATTTTTTAATTGAGATAACCTGATAGTTGTTGGGTTCAATAAATATTCTAATCCTTCCAAACTCTATGACAATATGCAATACACATCAAATACAACAAAATATGCTTTCATAATGGAAAAATTTAGACAGTTTGTATATACGGTAAATGGTTTATATTGTAAAATGGATTTGGTTTATGACAATCGTAATATGACATATAACATTAGTATCAAACTATCAATGGATAATAAAAATTATTATTAATGGTGGTTATATTATGATTTTGCAACAAAGCAATTATCATAATTTTGGAAACCTAATATTTTCATAGAGATAGGGCAAATTTTCTAACCCATCTCAGATTTACCTGGCAGGTCTATTGATTGATAATAATATCATACCATACCATTCATCAATAATTGTACTCTGACAAGTTATAATAATGTCAATAAAAACTTGGATTTGATACATATTGATTACCAATGGACAGACAGAGTCCAGTACAAGCAATGTATTCATAGGAGAATAATAATTGAATGATGATAATTGATTGATTCTAATAAAAAGAAAGCAATTCACTTATGACTTAATTCCTCAGCTTGAATTGGGTTGTTGCATTACTAATTGCAACCACTTTATAAAACCACGGTAAATTTTATATCTGATGATATTACCATATTGTCAACTGGTCTATGTTCAGTGTGATTTTAAATCTAGCATAAAGAATGCACAAACTCAAAAGGTTTCTGCCGATTTTATATCTGTCCATACTTTTATCAATCTCATTTTTCTCGATCCACTGTTGAGTGACACAAATTTGTTTCTTTGGGAATGTTTTTTTTTTTCATTTGCTTTAGGTTTATAATCATAACAGGGTAATTTTCCACATTCCTTTTATGAGTTCATTCAATCTTGGTTACATATTTCCTGATTTGTGATTGAATGTATTATCTTGTTTGGTTCAGCCTTAAACATTGTCTGCAAATCACATTTGTTTATAATTTTAATTTCACAGTTTTTTTTAAGGCCTGGTATGCCCTGTGTTTTCAAATATCAAATTTTGTTTTCTGTATGGATACTTTTTTGTTGATGTGAAATAAGATTTATGATCCTTTAGCCAGATGCAAATAATTATATCTAGCCACATATGAACAATACTTTCAGCAATTTTATTTTAAACCCTTAAATGCTACAAAACATAATAAATTTTTTAGGTATCTCTCCACCTGATAGTTCTGTTATTTTTTGCTTGTCTATTCAGTATGGAACTTTGACACATATGTACATGTGACTGGGTGTAATATGTGAACCAACCTTTATAATTTAGGTTTTCCTATGTCATTGTGGAATTGTCTTACCTTATTGTACTAAAGTCTATTTTTAATATATTGTTTCATATTGATTTTCGTTTTATAGAGTGAATCTTGGTATTTGTGTATTTCCGCTTCCGATATTTTGGTATTTCAATTTTTTATAATCAAAATTTTTCTATTTGAAGCTTGATGATCTGCGTAAGAATCCAACTTTACAAAGATCTGGTTCAGTTGATAGTTTGACCGACATACAGAGTATTCCTGAATCAACATTGACTTCTTATTCAACTCCTGCAACTAAAAACTTACAATCAGATTTAGAGAAACTACAACGTGCTCACGATAGTATCACACGACTCGAAGTTCAACTAGATGTATGTTGTTTGGATATTTTGTCTTAATCTAATAACTTTTTATTTTGTTTTCCACGTAGTAGTATTTTATTTATTCAAAGTTTGAACTATTAATTTTCTAATTCATAGTTCATTTCACAAACAATTTTCACTAAGTCTTGATTTTATGTATGGCTGTGATAAAAAATGCAAATTATATGTTGTATGAAAAAAAAATATATGCCAGATAGACACAGAATTTTGCAGACTTGAAACCTTGTTTACCACAACATAAAATTCAACTGTAAATCCCTGCTATAGAGAATAAGAAAGGTTATTCCATAAGTCACCATTGCTCCCACAAAGTGCATAAACCGATTCTAGAGGACTCTGACAGGCACCGTGTCCTGTGTAGTTTTTGATGGGAACCTAACAACCATATTATTTTATTAAGATTTGTTTGATATTATAATTTTGTTGAAAAATATTTCAATGTAAAATAACAAGATGAATAGTGAGTAGTGATTCCCATTAAGTTGAGACCTTTGCATGGCTGTTCCTTTTTACACTATTATTTGTCACCAACTTACAAATTCATATTTATACCTTTTTAATCAATTATGTCTGAAAGTACACTTTATTATACTTTCAGTCAACAAGAGCAAAATATCGAACTATGATGACAGAATATTCTCGGAAGTTGAAAGAAATTTCACAAAGTCTCGGTAATTGTGTAGAAAGAGCAAGACCCTACTTCGATTCAGTCATGAAAGCAAGAAAGGTGAGATTAGTTCTGTTATCAAAAACAAATACGTACGCAGATACATTTTTAGATTTTTTATGAAGCTGTGTGGCGATATGGAAGTTCAAATCTCTATTCAGTCGTTCAGCAGTTGATTTGATTTATTATCAAGTAGGGATGGGCAATGTAGAATAATTTACTATTTTAGAATAGTTAAATCGAATCCAGAATACCGAATCCTATTCTATTTTCATATTTACCGGTATTCAAATAGTGGGAATTTTCCACCTTGCTGGATTTAACCCTTTCCATGCGATTTTTATTTTTTATCAAATAATCATATTTGCTACGCCGATTTTATGCATTTGTACCCCCACAACTAATCGATCGACTAACGAAAAACTAATGATCCTCTGCTGCCCACTGACGGCTCATTGGAAAGCTCATTTAAAGAGCTTGCAATTGGCTATAAAAAAAAAAGGTTTTTTAAAAGTGGTGGTCTGAGTCACAAACCGGATAGAAAAAAGGCATTTTTTTTTGGGAGTTGAAACTTCAAACCGTGATGAAAAAATAGAAATATTTGCTAAATCCTTTACTGTTACCGCTTCGTGGTTGGCAAACAATAGCATAATATTGCTGTAGCAATTTCGTGATTTAACTCAAAATACTTTGGTAGATGGAAGAGATAATATGTCTTATATTACCACCAAAAAAACACCGAAATTTGCATAAATTTTCAAAACACTCCCTCGTTCCGCCGCAAATAAAATTCCAAAAAACACCGAAATTTGCATAAATTTTAAAAACACTCCCTCGTTCCGCCGCAAATAAAATTCCCGTCGTAAACGAAAGCGAGATTTACCGTCGCTTTATTAATCTCGAAGAAGACTTCTTATCAATAAACTAAAACCCGGAAAAACTAGACCAACAGTTTGCGACCGATTGCTGAATAAAACAGCGGAGTACATCAACGTACCTGCCGCAATCTAGCGGCTTTTGTCGTGGGTACGTTTACGTGCCCACCGCACGGAATGAGTTAAATGTTAAAAAATTGTAAATGTATTACTATTTCCTATTTATTTGGAAATATCCTTAACATTGGATTTTATTTGATACTAAACAGGCGTTTCCCAGGACAATAAATTCTAAGAATATTACAATATTTTTTGCCTTCAATTGTTCCAAATGTATGTAATCTCTAAATACTGATATGCTAAATTAAGACACGCTTTAAACACTTTAATAGTAAGCGGTTAAATACAAAAATAAATATGAAACGGCCGAGTGTACTAAAACACACCTGAAAATTAATTAGATGCAGGACCAGCGTGTGGCCACAGCCACCTATGCGCCCGGTGTAAAATATTAAATTTAACCACTATCAATTAAAATCAACTTTTTTATTCTGTGTGAGCGTAACATGCGAAACAAGGTTCCCGTAAACGCGATTTCGTAGTTTGGAAATTTCGACCTCGATTCAAGCTCTGAAATCCCACGGAAGTCATATTCTGACGATAAAAAACATATTCACGCCTTCTTTTAATAGAGGTTAAAAACGCCTAGTCAAGTTAATTTTTTTCAATTTCTGTTTAAAATTTTGGCATCGATTATCATCATTAAATATATCAAATTCTTAGTAGCGTCTTTAGAGAGTTCAGGATTTCAACTCTGGCTCTCGACTCAAATGAACATGCTGAACTCAGACTCTGGCACCCCATCCCTGAACTCATTAATGTAATTAGAAATGAAATAACTTCATTCGTCCATAAATTTTGCTAAATAATTCAGTCATGTATCATGAACAAAACTTGTAGAGATTGTAGTGATGCGCGGTACCTAATATTTTCAGAAGTCTACGGACTTTTATTATCAACTGTGTTTTTGTGGAAGGAGATTTATTTGTAAATATATCATCATTAAGTACTACTATATTAACAGGCGCAAATGGAGACCCAGCAGGCTGCCATTAGGTATAAAAGAGCAGTTAACCTTCAGAAAGCAGGAAGAGATATGGTTCGAGTCGCAGAAGAACGTCTGTCTTTATCATCGGATAAGTTTGACACAACATGGCAGGAAATGTTGAACCAAGCAACTTCAAAGGTACTTTTGATTCCACTCCAAACAAGGCGCTAGACAAGCAGCCACTGATGTATCATTTAAAATAATATGGATTTTTGTCGACTATTTGTATGTGGGAACATTGTTTTGTACTTGACTTGCTATACACTTTCCTGAACAAAAAAACTTATACTGTTCTGTTTTATCCACTAGGACTTGACTGTTAACATTAAACATTACCAGCAATGAAGATTTTTTTATTCTCACTAATTTGCACATGTAAAAGAGCCACAGATCAGTGGTTCGCAACCTTTCTTCTGATTTTAAAATGAATGAGACAGCTGTAAAAATGTTATTCACGATTACAATTATTTGCGATAGCGTTAAAATCTCAGCCTGGACAAGCGTTAAGAAGGTATGAAAATTTCAAAATGAGTTACGAGGAGGAGATAGATGTTCTGCAGTTATGGTTGGTTGGTGTTATCATCCAATAATAAATCTCTATTTTATACAGGCTGGGAACCACTGTTAGATTAGGCATTACCTTTAATTAATTGTAATTCAGGTAAATGAAGCATCAAGAGAAAAAGATTATATACACGGAATTCACATGAAAGCTGCTGGAATTTTTAAAGCTGCTGAAGATGATAAAAACAAATATCAAGTTACTTTACAAAGAAATATTGTCAAGGCAAAACCTTATTTCGAAGTCCAGCAGGATTTTCAAATTAAACTTGAGGTATTGTTTCTAATATATTGACAAACAAATATGCATGTACTGTATTGTGATTGCATTTCAATACTTAATCTAGGCTGATATTGACGAACTTCTTGATCTTCATATTTGATTAACACTCTTAAGACCACAATCAATGCTGGTTTTTGGGTGCAGCGATCAATGAATGATATAAAAATAATGTAATGAAAATTTGATAATGTTTGTTTCGCTTCATACTCATTTTACTAAAAAGTAGAATTGATGGGTATATATGTATGAATTGCAAAATGAACTGACTTTCACAAAAAATATGATGAAATTTAAGTGTTTATATGATTTGTTAGTAGCACTGATTACAACATGTTATGTAGTTTACTTTTACCGCAAGAATGAAAATCAGCTTTTGTGCTAATTTGGTTTCAAAAAGAAATCAAGCCTATTTTATTTTTAATCATTCTCAATTTTTATTCAGGCGATTACAAAGAAGCTAAATTCTCTTGAAGTCAAATTATTAGAAGCTCGTCAGTTCTACTCTGACGCTCTTTCGTCCATCAGACAATCTGGTGATGGAGAGGGCTCATCTATAGCACTTGACTCACTGGCAGAAAGAGGAATGGGTGTCGGGGCTGAGAATCCTTACGCGTCCGTGTTACCTAAACCAATGCAAGACATTCTGCGCCAGGAGGCTGCTACAACAAAAACGAAGGAATCAAAAAATAAGTCAACAGTTGTTGAATCAAAAACAGAAGGAGTTGTAAAATCATTAAGATATCAATATAATCCTTATGACCTTATGTATCTCAACGATACTGGTTCTGACACAGGTAGCATCCGAGATGGTGGATTTGATGGTTATATACAGGATTTTTAATATGTGTGAGCTATGTATGCTAAGGTGTCTGATTCGGGTCTTATTATCTTAAAATCTTCTCTGCTTTTCTGAAATGATGCATTCAGTTTCTTATTATATATTAAAAAAAACGAAAATGCATTAGTACTTCTAAAAAGTGCATTTTGGACATTATTTTAGCGCTCCAACTGTATTTTACGTGCTTTCGAGAATTTTGAATGAAGCAACTAAGCATGTTGTTTAAACCTGCCCCGAGTTACAAGTATCAGCACCAGCCCAATTTTTTATCTGAAGTACCCACTCTCCACTTATGACAAATTCTTGGTGCCAAACCCTGCCTTCACAAACAAATTTCGAACACTTATTGAGGTGGGAATTCAGCAAGCAGTATGGGTAAACCCGGGGCGAACACCCCTGTATGGGCTGATAAGGTCAAGTCTCAAGTTATCATCTGATTATCAATTTTTTTTATGTCATTATGGTATACTTCTGTACGGACCTGTTCAAACGAAAGTCTTTCCTCATGAACAAAGCCAGTGATTCATTATATCTTTCCTACCACATCATGTGGGTCACTGTTGCGTATCAAATCCAATATTCTTTATTGAAGTGCAGTTATTTTTTCAAGCCAGTCAATTGAGATTTTCCCTTTAGCATGAATGCAGTCTAATATATTCATCAATTTTCATTCACCATATAGATAAATGTTATTCTATTTTACCTCCAATATATAAATATTTTGTGCTTGTTACTGATAAACAACATACTTGCCTTTGATAATGAGTATTTTATCTGGATGACAAGTAAAGATCAAAGTTTATTCCTTTTAAGAATTGCATTTCTATATTCTATCATTACTTGAATTCAATCATGCACTTGATAAAATATAAACTACACGTGAATTGTTTTATTACAAAGAGGGTAAAATGGATTAGAAGCTCCATGATTTCTTGAAGAATAATAGGAACTAAGTAAGCTGAAAACTTTTGGAATGAGACTTGGGGAAAAATCTGACATAAGCTTTCTCATGCATTGAAAAGTTCCTCCGTTGCAAAGGTATCTGCTAAGCTCAGTGTATATTTTGTAGGAGTGCTTATGCATAATTGTTAAGAATGAAAGATGGTTCCATGGTTGGATATAAACACCTATCATGCAGAGTAATAAATCTTCTATTATTATTGGTTTCATACAATTTTTGCTAAGATCAGCTTGTCAGAGACCACTTCAGAATTGTAAGCTTTCATTACTTCCACTCTGATTTCTAGCAAAGTTTTCATATTCGAAGTACACTAAATCTTGGATAACTGAGAAACACAAAAATATCAGCTGGCTTCCATACCCTACAACTGAATCATAGGTTCTCAAAGTGCTCCATGTGGAGCCCTGCTCCGTGAGAGAAGCCTAGGGGCTCCGCGTGCTATTCGTTTACTTATGGAAATACTGACTTGGCTAATTTTAATATTCAATCTCTTCACGTGCTCCATGGCACCAAATGTTTGAGAACTCTTGCTCTAAATAATCATAAACCACACTTTCTTCATGAAAGTTTAAAACCATACATAATAGTATATAAACAGTAACTCTACTGATTACAATACTGTCGTAATCCAGCTGACAAATTAGACTTTTTCCGATTATGTCCCATTACAGTTACCCAGCATATTTGCTTGAATAAATTACCACTTTGATTACAATCAACCCTGGTTTTAACAATTATCATCACAACAATAATATTGATTTTATTTTATAAGAACTTGAAGTATAATAAAATATCCAATAAATAATTCTGTTAGAAAAATAAATTCCAGCCAAGACAATATTGATATTCTGTCAAGTCTGGGCCATAGATATGGTCTTCAACACTTACAAATCTTTTGGTTATACATAGACTTGTTAAGACGAGTTGAACTTCTTGTATTGTTGCGGATCAAATCTAAGATTTCGTTCTTTGGTGAAAACAACTGGTGCAGGTCGTAGTGCTGAAACTGATAGTTGTTTATCGCTTCTGCTATCATCATGAGAAGTCAATCTCAAATTAGTATTTTTGTTGGAATCGAGTGCAGCCAGAACATTCCCATCTTCAGAGGAAAACTTCTGTTGTGTTAAACCTTTCACAACTTGTCGCATTACAGCCATCTCTTGTCTGTGACTGAGTAATTTATCCAAATCCAATGACAACTTCTTCCGAACATCAAGTAGCTGAAAAAAAATTATTTTGATGGAAAAGTTTTTACGTAGTAATTTGTAAAGTAAAACTTTTAAGCGATTTATGTGAGTGTGATAGATAATCCAATTGATGGTATTTGAATCAATGTGATTCAAGAAATTTGCTGGACACTAGCACAAATGTATTTTTGTAACGTTTATTATTGAAATTTGCTTATTTGAAGAAGTCTAAATCGTTGCAGAAATACATCTGTGTCAGTGGTGAATCGTTGCAGAAATACATAGATACAGAAAATACAGAGTCTCAAAACAACCTTCGGCAAAAATTATTTTTCTAGAAGTACTTCTCTTCAGTGGTCTGTGATCAATTCAGTAATTCACCCCTTCGCAACTGCATGGTGATAAAATTTGGTATGAATTTCACACTTACAACTTCAATGATCATTCTTAACCTAGTTCTTGAAATAAAAACCAACATGTTTATTTTCTTTATCCTTTTCATCAAAATCATTCTCAAGTTTGGACAAAGTTTTTTTCAGCGATGAAATTTCCAAGTCACGTTGTTGCATTCCCTCTATTAGATAACTGTACGGTTGTTTGCATTGATCAATCAGGTTCTCCGCATTTTCCAGCTGTTGGCTAATCTGTAACAAAAGTAAAGTATCAGTGTTTCAGGGTATGAATTTTATATCAATTCTGTTGGAGAAGAGAACTTTGAAAGATGAATTTCTCAATAATTTGCTAAATGGGAATAGTTATTTTCCAGACATGTAATTATGATGCAATAAAGCAAACATGCAGCAGTGAACAACCTTGCAATGAGGGGAGTCAAGCAATCCTTTCATACATCATCATTGAAGAGGCATACTTTCAGCACCACAGATTATACATCTTGGTTTAAATTCCATGCACCTCACCAAAAGTAATAAATTGAGTAGGTAATGCAAAAGTACAACAAATCCAGTTTTTCCAAAAAATAGTTGCTCTATGAATATCAGTAGCGCCTTGTTCAAAGTACATTGAACGAATAAGCATCGTGTATCAAAAAAATATGACCTGCATTTTCTAAACCATGAGGCATTAATATATTTGAGTCACTAAATCATGGAAGATGTTTACATGATTGGGTTAAGGCAACTAACTGGAAAGATCACGAACCTTCTTCATTTCTCTTTCTTTAATTTGTATCTCAGCATGCAGGCTTGTATTCAACTTCTCCAGTTGCAGAATTCTATTATAGATTGAAACACTGACATTGTAATAAATTTGAAAGTGCGGCAAATAAATTCTGACAAATAATGCTACTTAATACCAATAATTCAAGAATTGTTATCAATTTGATATCACCAATACCCTAATTTGCAGACGGCAATCCGTATTTGCATTAGCGCAGTCGAACATCTATAAAAATGTTATGTCACCATTATTTAGATGTTCAGTGCAATGTAATAAATTAAAACTAGACACATAAGTACAGGTATGTGTAGTAGCAATTGCAAACAAGAAACCTAGAATTTTTTTTAAAACAGAACAGCTCATACAAAAACAAATTAGGCTTATTGGTAGATCACATAGTAAACAAGAATTGTCAAAAACACACACCTGCGAGCCAAATGCACACTCTGTTTCATTCTCATTTTTGCATTGGTGGGAACATTAGCACCATATCCATATGAGAAAAGAACTCTCTCTGCTGTTTCATCATCTTCTTCAACCTCTGCTGCTTGCATCACAACATCATCTAGTTCCTAGCAAAAAAAAAAAAAATTACACAAAATCTTGTTTATACGGTCGATTGATTGGTTTTATTCATTTCAATCAGGTTGTCATTCAATAAGTTTTTATGGCATGTTTACTAATAATGATTGGTCTTGGGTACCTCAACTATGCAAGTAGTTTTTGACAGAGCACATCTTATATCACCCTTCAAATTTTGAGTGTCTTCGCTTTCTTTGTGCGATTTTGATAATATAATGTTTCAAGCAGGGGCGGACACTTTCCATAATTTGGGGGGGGGGCGAACATGGATCGCCTACCGAAAAACACAGTGCCGTGTAACAATACGTAACAATAACCTGTCTATGTCATTTTCTAAGTATTAGAATGTCATTTTGCTACTCATATATTGAGTACCTAGGATGCTTCGCTTAGACACGGAACTGGCGCGTCACTGAACCAATTTCTTGAATTCTGCGAGATTTGGCCCACGGCTCTTGCTAACAAACGGGAAATAATGAATTTGAGGAGTCGTATTAGGTTATTGTTTCAATTCCCAGTTCTGCATAAAGCGCACTAACGCCGTTTCGTAAAATTAGAAATGCAAAACAAGGTAACAAGCTATTGTGCGAATTTTTTTCCTAAATTTTACCAAGGAATTGGAATCACTTGACTAGTAGAATTGCCATTGTTGCCGATTTAATAATGACTTTGCAGGGTTTTTATTTATAATTTGATACGAAAATAAACAGGCACAAGTTCAGGCGCACAGCCATAATTTTAAAAAAATGGATGGGGGGGGATCAAAGTCGGAACCATTGCCGTCTGCAACAAGCACCGCGATTACGCGCTCGTTAAAAGAGCCGCCTATTTAAGCGTATAATGATTTTTCTGTCCCGTAAAATATTCATTACATGACAGCCACGAAATTCTAAAATGTCCTTATATATTAATTTAATTGTGTGCAACGTAACTCGCGGTTGCGAGGCGCTGTGGTCCACATCATTGTAAGAAAACAGTTATAATATCGACTATTAACCGTTCAATTCCGCTTGACTATCGCACTTTTCGGAATTGTTATTTTTGATAAGGCGGAAACAACATGTATTAAAATTCTTTGTAAAATTATTGGGTGTCCGCCCATGGTTTCAAGCTGAGACCACTTGTTTTTATTAAGAAGGGTACCCAAACCTAATAAAATTATCAAGGAGATCAATAGCGCTAAAAAAGGTCTGGAACCACTGATATACCAAACTATTTTCCTATGTTCATTTAACTGCAAGAAGAATTCATAAAATTCACCACTTTTCCCAATTATTTAGGCTAGACTGAACAATCAATTTCCAATCTGTTTTGTAGGTGCACATCATTTGCATACCTCATCAAAATGTTTCGATTTTTAAGTCATAAATTTGCCTCGTTACCTTTTCCATTTTTTCATATGATGTCAATCTAGCTTCTGCTTCCCTTATTGCCGATTTGAGTTCGGTTTCTGTGACTGATGATCTTTTTTCTAACTCAGTATAATCCAATGTGACAATCTCCAGTTTTTTATTCAATCTTTCGCAATCTTCATTTGACTTGAGAAGATTTTTGCTTGTTTCTTCGTACATTAACTAAAAATAGTAAGATTTAATTTTACATTCAAAATATTGTTTAGATAACTCAGAACAAAATAAAACTTCTGGAAAATTGAATTAAAGTTAAAAGCAGAATTGAGTTTATTAATCTAAGCTGTCATCTTTATGTCCATCTATTCATCTTGATGCATTTACACCATAGGTCCCAATTTCAGAAACTTATACATATACACACTTTGTGTCCAACAAGACGTACTTAAAAAACCTAGACATGGGTAGTCTTGTGAACGGAAAACATGACGTTGATTAAATTGAACACCCCAATTCATGTTACTCACTTGTAGCCTATCAAGTTCAAATGATTTTGTTCGAGCTTCATTTTGAAAATCACTGATTCGAGAATCCACACTGGCTTCTAAAGCTCGGAGTTCAGATAGATACTTCTCACTTCGTTTCTCGGCTTCGTCCCTAAACTTTACGGCCTGGAATAAACATCAATTGTAATTTTAATTTTTTTAACAAAAGATATTGAGCTTTTATTTATTCCATTTGTTCCTAGTAAATACTATTATGCAGTTACAGATGGTTATGATCATCCAAGATGAGTAACTTGAGATATATCAGAAGCACGAAAAAATTAAGTAGGATTTTTAGATAATCGGATATTAAAAAAATTTGCTCGAAACATGACGCACTCACTCAGAAATGAAGGAGAATGATCTCCAAGCAAAATATTCATTACGATATAGTTGGTTTGAAAAAAATATTGGGTTGATGATTAAGGTGGCAAGAGGGGCAACCAATGCAAAAAAATAAACGTTTAAAAAAAAAATACCTAAATAAGTTACAAAACAAGTTTCAATTTTGGACTAGTCAAGCCAATGAAAAGGGAATATTCTAAATTTAGATCCATCAAGTGATGAAAATGAATGTCTACACTCCCCATACGTTTATGACATATATGCCAAACTTAATTATCAATGATCGGAACAGTAGAAAATTTACCCAAGTACTACAATACCTGATCGCGTTCTTGATTAGCCAAATCTCTTGCCTCGCGTAAACCACGATTCTCTCTTTCATATGATTCTTTTGTATCAGTCTGAAGTTTACCAATTTCAGTATCAGTCTGCATCCTGGTATATTAATTAATAGGAAAAGTATATTATTAGATACGAGTCACACTTAAAAACCGGCGCTGCAGAGTCGAAAGTTTGACATGTTTTCATTGGAATTAAACCCAGAGCCGCATTCTAAAACTTTCTATAGCAAAATTTGAAATCCACAGAGTCAGACGTGAGAGTTGGAATTTCCGCCTTTTACAATAATAATTGAGGTTAAAATTCATAACAGTCTATTAAAAAAGGCTGGCGTACGCCCAAACATTCATTATAAAAATTGAATTTCTTCAGGAGTTCAGAGCTGGAGTCAAAATATTTAATAAACTTGAAACCAAGGTCGATTGTAAATTTTTCCCAATCCACAATCTATCTTAAAACAACATTTTACGCTGTTTGATATCAATTTTTCTAAAAATACTTAGGGTTGGTGTAAATCGCCAGGATAACATTGAAAATTCAGTCCACTTAAATTTCATTTTTTTTATATTCTGTTTACTGTAATTCACACTATCTTGGGCTACGCTCTGTATTTAATATTCAATTATTGATACAAATTTTTCTCATCTATGGACAAACTATAATTGATTCAGTAATACTCTATTAATAATGATTTCAAGTGGGAGTGGTGGCCTAGTTGTTAAAGCGATAAATATAACTATTTTAGCATCGCAGATTAAAATCCCATGCACCTCAGCTAAAGTGTAATAAATTGGGTAGGACATAAGTTCTCAAAGTGCTCCATACTGCAAGTGCAGCTTTAAGTATTTCAATGCCTCTGAAGCTGCCGCAAAACCATGGCGGTATTTCCAAACCATGGCCGCTATGGCTAAACTTATGGCAACTCACTTTTTAGCTGGCACAAACAATGACGAGCTGCCGTTAACGCGACAGCAAATTGAAAACCAATAGCGGGTAAAATTTTGGTGCCGTAACCACGGCAGGTCTGCCGTAACCACGGCAGGTCGGTGTAAAGACAGGGCTGCCCACCGATGGTGAAAAATATTGGGTAAGTTGGAATATTGGATTTGGGGTTAGATTTCAGGGTCATAAATATGTCATATAAAAAAACTTACCGTATTCTATCCAATTCTGTTTGCAGTCTTCTCTCGTATTCAAGTCTATTTTCATCTCTGGATGAAACATATTTCTCATACAATTCTTCTCGAGCTTTCTTCGCATTTTCTAACTGATCTTCTGTTCTCTTTAACAATTCAGAACTGGTGTCCAATTTAGCTGTTATATCATTGAGCTGCTTTTGCAAATATTCTTTATCCTGTAAGCAAAGTAATTCATTATAATCCACATTTTTCGTAAATTAGGAGACACAAATTTGGTGAAATATACTATTTTAACTGTATTCACAATTGCGCTCTAATGTTTAATAATATGATTATGATAGTTGAAACAAGTTCAAAAATTTATTGCTTCGGATAATCAAATTTGTAGGAAGTTGTTTCTTGAATAATGACCATTAAAGTACATTTTTGACCTTAAAATGAAAATAGATTACGCAACACAATCATAGAACAAGGTGTATGTTTGTCAGAGAAAATATTTTCTTTTTAAATTCCATAATGGTATTTATCACAGGCGACATATTTAAATAGAATATCAATATTTGTCATTTCAATTATATTCCCGCAAATGATGGGAGATGAGATAATATGGGAGTGGCAAAAGTTATTTAGTTGAAATAGGTAGGCTAAAATATGAAGATGAGTTTTGGAAATGGCAAAAGTTTTCTAGCTAGAGATAGGCAAAAATATCCAAACTTTAATATGTATTTTCGAGACAATATAATATTTAGTGGGCAGGTGATATTCAACTACATTATCATGGATGAATATAGTGAAGCTACAAATAACTTGAATATTCAAAGTTTATGTGAATACTTCTTTAGAAGGATAGTTGAAAGTAGATGTAAAGAAGTTGACTTAAAAAAAATAAGAAAGTCAAAAGATTTTCATAATCTTGCATTTATAAAAAATAAAAATGTCAGATTGGGTATAAGATAAAATTCCAACAACTGAGATGCAATAATCATGAAGTGCACAAGGAAGTATTAAAGTCTTTTAGATACACAAATCAAATTAACAACAAAGAGCTTCCCAAATTTATTGATTACTTCAGGGGTCAGCTTTATGATCACCATGCTATTACCGGTATGTCATAGAGATTTTGCCACATATTTTGCAAGTATAAACAAAAATGATATTACGGTACATCTTTTGTAATATTTTCTTAAACATTTCATCACAAAATAACATAATTTACCCAAAATGGTTATTATACCAAAAAAAAAGCTTTGCACCCACATACTTATATCTGTACCATTAACTGCACCTAGAACAACAGCAACTGTATACTTTTGTACCTGCGGACATTCTATACTTTTGTACCTGCGGACATTCTCATCCATTGACAATTGAACAAACACATTAACACCCACATAAGATTGCACCCACAAACATTTGCATCCATGATTGTTTGCACCCATAGGTATTTGCACCAGCAGACATTTGCACAGACATACATATGCACCTGCTGACATTTTCCCTCATTTAAATTTGACCCAGTTCAATTGTACCCATGTACATCTGCACACACAGACAGGTGATCAAGTCATTTTATGACACATTTGGTACAAGTCATTGCTTTCTGAAGCCTGTAAACTACACTACACTGAAATATTAGTTAATATGGTGTAAAACCTCAAAAAATTCCTTTTTTAAATAAAACGATAATTTTTCATTTTAGTTAGTATTTTATAATAACGCTTTTCAAAGTGGAAAATTTGGCTTGCAAATTCACCCCTTTATTTATCTCATCACCTATGATTATATAATGACTCTCACGTTACGTGCAAGTACAAAAAAGGAATTATCATAACACCGATTTAAAGGTGTTTACAGCCTAAATAACATGCCACACTTAAAAAAACAATCAGCAAAATGGAATGCGCTGTACTTGGAAATAGTGTTAATAGAATTTCCCTTGGGGTGCTCCACTTTCTATTTTGTGTGCGAAGAGTAATTTATTGGTTAATGTGGTATGTGGTCATTAGCGATGAAATGGATTAAATTTGTCTGATAAGAGCCTGTGATACGACATGTACAATATTTTTAGAGAGCTTAAGTGAAGATTCACATTTTTTTATTCAAATATTGCATATACTGACTTTTATGAAGGTGAACTCGCATAACCCAAGCGTCAATCAATAAAAAGAGAATTGAATCGGAACTCAGTAAAAATGACGTGGACTCGAAATTCGAGTCCGAATCTCGTCCCATCCCTAAGAAATAGCACTGCAATGATGAAACATTGAGAATTGGGATACGATTAAATTACATATTTCTACAGAAAAGGATTACGGTAGATGTAGCACATATGAATATACATATTCTTGGAAATGTGAATCTATTGATCTCTTTTGCATGTTCCACATAGCCAGACAGTATAAACATAAAAATACTTATTTCACACTGCTTTCTTATAAAATATAACGTCATCAAGTGCACAATTATATGTACAGAATGCAAAACTTGTAACGGACAGTCTGTACTATGACTTGGATAAGTAGGGATGTCAATTGCACTCTTCCGATTTGAATAGTATTTCTACAGTATGTGTAAACTTTTTTAGACATTGCGAATATGCATAAAATAATTCTGAAATATCACAATCAACTAGGGCAGTGGTCACCAAAGTGTGGGTCGCGACCCCAAGCGGGGTCGCCTTATATATTACTGGGGTGCCGAGTGCCTATCGTTGTCATTTCTTTTATTATTTTTATTATGTGTGTGACTTCTCGGCTTAACGCTAGATACTTCAAACAAAAGAATGAATAACAAGCACGTAGACAGGTAATACCAAGAGCAATTACGATAAATCAATTATGACATCATAATCACAAATTTAGTCCGTGTGAAAAACAGCGTTCTATGACACAAATACACAACAGCGTGTAGTCTGCACTGTTAAGTTGAATATTGCTACATAGGCTAGCAAGTTTCGATATTTCGAATTGGAGTGACTTCTTTTATAATAAGGCTATTGCTTAACGACAGTAATTTATATTTTAAAGTAAATCGTTATTGTCTCTTAAATGTACTGTACAGTGGCCGATGCTTTTACTGCAAAGCCTCATTTTCCAGGCTACCGTCATATTAATAATTACAATTTATTAAATGGCTGATAAACATAAAAGAAAAATATTGTATGATCAAACTTTTTGAAAGCTTGACTTTTAGTGCTATGAGTCTGCCTAAATCAAAGCACCGAAATCGATTAAACGTAGAACAGGATTTGCGTTTGGCCTTAAGCAACATTAAGCCACGAATGCAAGATCTCGTTGGAAGGAAGCAGTCGCATTCTTCACACTGATTAAATATGGTTGTTGTTGGGTTCTTTTAATAAATTTCTGAATTTGATAAATATTTTTTTCATGTCTGTAGGTGAACATATATATATATATATAACTTGGGGTCGCGAGTGCTTATCATACGTAATAATATTGTAGATGGGGTCGTGTCTCAAAAAGTTTGAAGACCACTGAACTAGGATATGAAAATATTTAATTTTATAGTTGATAGAACTAGAATTTAGCAGCTTTAAAACAAATGCTAACCTTGAAAAACATAACATTTATTTCACTTTTGATGCTTGCTATAAGCATTGAGATTAACCAGGCAAAAGAATGTAAAATTCCAGAAAACAATGAAGACATCGACTGGGATAAGGTATGTATATAATTAAATAGTAAAACCTTTACTTTTAATCAATTTTTAAAATAAATACAACATTCATTATTCGCTTAGACTTTTTTCAAAAATTTGATTAAGACAACATTAGGACTTCAAATACATCCTTTCCCCAATAATATATCTGGAGATTTCAACATCTTCCCTGAACTCGACTTTCCAAATGTGTCACAGGTGTTAAAAGTTGAAATTTAGCAAAACTCTCATTGCATAATGGAATTATTCAGTAGAAATTGTAAACCATATAATTGTTGTGTGCAGGTTAAGGATGACTGGTATATGGTGCTACACACCAACGATGAGGTCATGAAAAGAGATGTTATAGGTGTAAGATTACGGAATATCTCCAATACAAATGAAGGAATGGGAATGGTGATTACTGAATTACATGAGAAGTAAGTTTATAATATATTTCAGATGACCTGAAACAAGTTTAATAAAAAAAACTGAAGAAATGACCTAACACTGCAATATTCAAACTAAAGTATACAAGTGAATTCAGTTACCGTACATTCGAATTGGCAGATCAGACTACTCAAGTGTCCAACCAAAATCAAAGCTGCATTCAAAAACAGAAGATATGTAATTGTACATTTTACTTAATTTCAGTTCTCCTCCCCAAACCTTTACAATCGAATCATCCAAACGAAGAGACGGCGTTTATTACGGAAAAAAGAGCGAAGGTATCATTTTTAAATATACCTATATACAGTAGGTAAAATGAAACAAAAATAAATAAAGAATTCAATATTTTGAAACAGAACCAGCTGTTTCGGCTTCACACACTCTAACACCAGATGGAGGAACAAATAATAAAGCTAAAAAAATAGGTAATGTATAATTGAATTTGTATATTAGATTGGTGATGGATACATTGACATTCAAAAAGTTGAAACATTTTAATATCCAGATGATGCCTTATTCAATGGTGATATTCTGGCTCTATGTGATGAAAAGAATTATTTGGTCTATGCATTCTGCAGTCTTTCAGGTATTTTACGCCACTTTTCATTTAGTTTCAATGACAATTTGCTCTCAGCAGCATTGATAGAACTCACAATAGAGGGAATTAAACTCACTCAAGAGTAAGTTTTATAATTAGTGGGTAATAAAAATCAGTCACTTGGTAGGTACAGTCACAAAAAATGCCTGCTCACTAGTGAAGGTAGTATCACATTGCATGTGAGATGGAAATTGGGGGGAAAGCAACCAACTATAAGTGCAATAACTAACCAGACTATTCTTCCCTCCCAGGCTGTACATAGGACAACAAATCTTTCAAAAAAGTGACATAAACCATTTGCATATATGTAAATTTCTAATATTAGCTCGATATTTTTTCAGATGAATGGGTTGTTTGGGCGGAATTTCCAACCCTGAATCCAACTATTCATCAAATTAGTTTAATGTGGAACAAGCTCATTGAAAAAGGAATCATTGTACAACTTTATCCTTCAAAAACTGTTGAACATCCAGAGTTGATGGAAGTTTGAACTGACAAGATCATTCAATACTAAGTTATAACCATGAACAGAAATCCATTCAATAGAAATTATAACACTGCAGTATATTATTTAGTACAAGTATTATATTCTAGAAAAACAAAGACAGTAAGAAAACTACGCGAGTACTTTTATATAGAATTTTAGGTCTTATTCCATGTATCTTTCAGTTTCATTGTAATTATGTTGTGCTATATTTAAGTTGAAAATTATACAATGAAGACATGATGCAAATGTTTCAACGCTCTTGTTTGCAATTTTAAACTAAAGGAATTCATTTTATATCCTTCACAATTTGATGAGATAAGATAAAAATTTAATTCATTGTTAATAAATTTAAACAAAAATATAGTTGCTTGATATTTTGGGGGTGGATATCACAGTACATTAGATATATATATATATATATCCCTTAAAGCTTATATTTGTAATTGTATAAGTGTGTGTAATTGCACTTCAATGATAAAACATCAAAAATTAGGATATATGATGAAATTCTAAATATTTGTACAGAAAAATGATTGGATGAATGACAAATGAATAAACATTTTCTTGAAAATGTGAATCTATTGATCACTTCTGCCTCCTCTTCCAAAGAACAATGCATGTTCAACACAGCCAGACAGTATAAACAAAAAATAAATACTCATTTCCCACTGCCTTCTTTGGGGAAATATGAAATCTTCACAACACCAATATATGTACAGAATGCAAGACTTGTAACAGACAGTCTGTTCTATGACTTGGATAAGTGAGGATGTCAATTGCACTCTTCCGATTCAAATATTATTGCTACAGTAGCTATTGACTTTTCGATTCAATTATTCATAATCTAATTCTGAAATCTCACAAATTGCTGTAAATTTGGATAACTCACCAATAAATTTTAGAAGTTTTCAGGTTTATGAAAGTACATAATTTTGTGATTTTTGAAACTAAGATTTAGCAGCTTTAAAATAAAATGCTGACCTTGAAAAACATATTGTGTATTTCACTTTTGATGCTTGCTATAGGCATCAAGATTAACCAGGCAAAAGAATGTAAAATTCCAGAGAACAATGAAGACATCGGCTGGGATAAGGTATGTAGGCCTATATAATGAAATAGTAAAACTTTCACTTCCAGTCAATTTTTAATATATTTAAAACATTTTTCATTTTCCGCTTACACTTTTTTCAAAAATTTGATTAAGACAACATTAGGACTTCAAGAAAATTATCTCACAATAATATATCTTTCCAAACTTTCAACTTTTCAAATGTCACAGGTGTTAGAAGTTGAGATTTGGTAAAACTCGCATTGCATAATGAAATTATTGAGTAGAAATTGAAAACCATATTGTTGTGTGCAGGTTAAGAATGACTGGTATCAGGGGCTACACACTAATGATGAGGTCATGAAAAAAGATGTTATAGGTGCAAAATTCCGGAATTTTTCCAATACAAATGAAGGAATGCGAATAGTGGTTATTGATTTACATGAGAAGTAAGTTTATAATTTATTTGAAATAACCTGAAACAAGTTTCAAAAAATAAAACTGGACAAATTACTTAACACTGCACAGTCCGCAATATTCAAACTAAAGTAATACAAGTGAATTGAGTTACATTTGAATTGACAGATCAGAATACTCAGTTTACAACCCAAATCAGAGTAGAAGATATGTAATTGTGAATTTTACTTTATTTCAGTTCTTCTCCCCAAACCTTAACATTCGATTTTACCAAACGAAGAGACGGCGTTTATTTTGCGGAGAAGAGCGAAGGTATCATTTTTGAATATACCTATATAGTTGGAATTAAAAAAGAAATATAAAATTTATTATTTTGATACAGAACCAGCTGTTTTGGCTTCACACACTCTAACACCAGATGGAAGAACAAATAATAAAGCTAAAAAAATAGGTAATGAATAATTGAATTTACAGAATATATTGATGATGGTAGTAAATACATTGACATTCCAAAAGTAAAAACATTTTAATATTCAGATGATGCCTTATTCGATGGTGATATTCTGGTTCTATGTGATGAAAAGAATTATTTGGTCTATGCATTCTGCAGTCTCTCAGGTATTTTATGCCACTTTTCATTTAGTTTCAATGACAATTTACTCTCAGTAGCATTGATAGAACTCACAATAAAGGAAATTGAACTCACTCAAGAGTAAGTAATATAATTAGTAAGTAATAAAAATCAGTTACTTGGGAGTTTCATTCACAAGGAATGCCTGCTCACTAGTGAAGGTAGTATCACATTGCATGTGAGGTGGAACTTGGGGGGGGGGGGAAGCAACCAACTAAAAGTGCAATAACGGACCAGATTAAGCTTTCCTCTCCAGGCTGTACATAAAACAACAAATATTTCAAAAAAGTGACACAAATCAATCGCATATATGTATATTCCTAGAGCGATTTATATCGGGACAATTTCTTTTCAGATGAATGGGTTGTCTGGGTGGCATTTCCAAGCCTGAATCCAACTATTCATCAAATTAGTTTGATGTGGAACAAGCTCATTGAAAAAGGAATCATTGTACAACTTTATCCTTCTAAAACTGTTGAACATCCAGAGTTTATGGAAAGTTTGAAGTGACACGATCATTACATACCAAGTTATAACCTTGAACAGAAATCCATTTATTTAAAATTATAACACTGCAGTATACTATTCGGTACAACTATTATATTCCAGAAAAAAAAAGACAGTAAGAAAACTACTGGAGTACTTTTATATAGAATTTTAGATCTTATGCCATGTCTCTTTCAGTTTTATTGTTATTATGTTGTTTTAAGTTGGAAATTATACAATAAAGAGATGATGCAAATGTTTTACCGCTATCGTTTGCAATTTTGAACTAGAGGAATTTATCTTTATCGTCCTTAATTTAATGAGATAATTTAAAAATTTAGTTCATTGTTAATAAATTTAAACAAAAATATAGTTGTTTGATATTTTGGGGGTGGATATCACAGTACATTAGATAGAGTACATATATATATATATTCATTTAAGCCTATATCTGTAATTGGATAAATGTGAGTAAATAGCACTACAATGATAAAACTTTAAAAATTAGAATATGATAGAATTCTACATGTACAGAAAAAGGATTGGATGAAGCACAAATGAATAAACATATTCTTGAAAATGTGAATCTATTGATCTCTTTTGCCTCCTCTTCCAAGGAACAATGCATGTTCCACATAGCCAGGCAGTATAAACAAAAAAATCATGTATTCACATAGTCTTCTTTAGAAAATATAACATCATCAAGTGCACAAATATATGTACAGGATGCAAAACGTGAACAGACACTAAACATTACAATATCATCTCACAATAGACAGTATAAACAAAAAAATTACGTATTCACATTGCCTTCTTTGGAAAATATAACATCATCGAGTGCATAAATATATGTACAGAATGCAAAATGTGAACGGACACTCTGTTCTATGACTTGGATAAGTAAGGATGTCAATTGAACACTTCCAATTTAAATATTATTGCTAAAATATCTGTAGTCTATTCGTTGAAACTATTTATAACAGAATTATAAAATCTCACAAATTGCTGTAAATTTGGAGAACTCACCAACAAACCCTAAAAGTTTGCCGGGTTATAAAAGTACATAATTTTGTAGTTTATAGAACTAAGTTATTTAGCAGCTTTAAAATAAAATGCTGACCTTGAAAAACATATTTCATATTTCACTTTTGATGCTTGCTATAGGCATCGAGATTAACCAGGCAAAAGAATGTAAAATTCCTGAGAACAATGAAGACATCGACTGGGATAAGGTATGTATATATTTAAATAGTAAAACCTTTACCGGTACCTTCAGTCAATTTTCAATATAGAAGGAACATTCATTATCCACTTACACTTTTTTCAAAAATTTGATTAAGACAACATTAGGACTTCAAATACATTCATCTCACAATAATATATCTGGAGATTTCAACATCTTCACTGAACTCGACTTTCCAAATGTGTCACAGGTGTTAGAAGTTGAGATTTAGAAAAACTCTCATTGCATAATGAAATTATTCAGTAGAAATTGCAAACCATATAATTGTTGTGTGCAGGTTAAGGATGACTGGTATATGGTGCTACACACCAATGATGAGATCATGAAAGAAGATGTTATAGGTGTAAGATTACGGAATATCTCCAATACAAATGAAGGAATGCGAATAGTGATTACTGAATTACATGAGAAGTAAGTTTATAATTTATTTCAGATGACCTGAAACAAGTTTCATAAAAAAAAAACTGAAGAAATGACCTAACACTGCAATATTCAAACTAAAGTATACGAGTGAATTCAGTTACATTTGAATTGGAAGATCAGACATTTCAGTGTTCAACCCAAATCAAAGCTGCATTCAAAAACAGAAAATATGTAATTGTACATTTTACTTTATTTCAGTTCTCCTCCCCAAACCTTTACAAGCCATAGGATCAAACGAAGAGACGGCGTTTATCATAGGGAAAAGAGCGAAGGTATTATTTCTAAATATACCTATATAGGTAAAATGAAATAAAAAATTCAATATTTTGATACAGAACCAGCTGCTTTGGCTTCACACACTCTAACACCAGATGGAGGAACAAATGATAAAGCGAAAAAAATAGGTACCTAATGTATAATTAAATTTACAGATTAAATTGGCAATGGTAAAATACATTGACAATCAAAAAGTTAAAACATTTTAATATTCAGATGATGCCTTATTCAATGGTGATATTCTGGCTCTATGTGACAAAAAGAATTTTTTGGTCAATGCATTCTGCAGTCTTTCAGGTATTTTATGCCACTTTTCATTTAGTTTCAATGACAATTTACTCTCAGTAGCATTGGTAGAACTCACAATATAAGGGATTAAACTCACTCAAGAGTACCGTAAGTAATTAAAATCACTCACTTAAAAACATTCAAGGAGGTTCATTCACAAGGAATGCCTGCTCACCAGTGGAGGTAGCACCACATTGCATGTAAGGTAATTGGGGGAAAAGCAACCAACTATAAAACTGCAATACCGGACTAAACTATTTTTTCCTCTCCAGGCTATACATAAGACAACAAATCTTTCAAAATTTCAAAAAAGTGACACAAACCAATTGAATATGTGTAGATTCCTAGAGCGATTTATATCAGTATTCATATCGGATCAATATCTTTTCAGATGAATGGGTTGTCTGGGTGGCATTTCCAACCCTGAATCCAACTATTCATCAAATTAGTTTAATGTGGAACAAACTCATTGAGAAAGGAATCATTGTACAACTTTATCCTTCCAAAACAGTTGAACATCCAGAGTTGATGGAAAGTTTGAAGTGACAAGATCATTCAATACTGAGTTATAACGATGAACAAAGATCTATTTAAAAAGAATTATAATACTGCAGTATACTAATTAATACAACTATTATATTCTAGAAAAAAATAAAAACAGTAAGAAAACTACTGGAGTACTTTTATATATATAATATTAGGTCTTATGCCATGTCTCTTTCAGTTTCATTGTTATTATGTTGTGCTATAATTAAGTTGAAAATTATACAATGAAGACATGATGCAAATGTTTCAACGCTCTTGTTTGCAATTTGAAACTAGAGGAATTCATTTCTATCCTTCACAATTTGATGAGATAAGATAAAAATTTAATTCATTGTTAATAAATTTAAACAAAAATATAGTTGCTTGATATTTTGGGGGTGGATATCACAGTACATTAGATAGAGTATATATATATATATCCATTAAAGCTTATATTTGTAATTGTATAAGTGTGTGTAATAGCACTTCAATGATAAAACATCAAAAATTAGGATATATGATGGAATTCTAAATATTTTTACAGAAAAATGATTGGATGAATGACAAATGAATAAACATTTTCTTGAAAATGTGAATCTATTGATCACTTCTGCCTCCTCTTCCAAGGAGCAATGCATGTTCCACATAGCCAGACAGTATAAACAAAAAATAAATACTCATTTCCCACTGCCTTCTTCGGGGAAATATGAAATCTTCACAACACCAATATATGTACAGAATGCAAGACTTGTAACAGACAGTCTGTTCTATGACTTGGATAAGTGAGGATGTCAATTGCACTTTTCCGATTCAAATATTATTGCTACAATATATATTGACTTTTCGATGCAATTATTCATAACATAATTCTGAAATCTCACAAATTGCTGTAAATTTGGATAACTCACCAACAAACTTTAAAAGTTTTCAGGTTTATGAAAGTACATAATTTTGTGATTTTTGAAACTAAGATTTAGCAGCTTTAAAATAAAATGCAGACCTTGAAAAACATATTGTGTATTTCACTTTTGATGCTTGCTATAAGCATCAAGATTAACCAGGCAAAAGAATGTAAAATTCCAGAGAACAATGAAGACATCGACTGGGATAAGGTATGTAGGCCTATATAATGAAATAGTAAAACCTTCACTTCCAGTCAATTTTTAATATATTTAAAACATTTTTCATTTTCCGCTTACACTTTTTTCAAAAATTTGATTAAGACAACATTAGGACTTCGAGAAAATTATCTCACAATAATATATCTTTCCAAACTTTCAACTTTTCAAATGTGTCACAGGTTTTAGAAGTTGAGATTTGGTAAAACTCGCATTGCATAATGAAATTATTGAGTAGAAATTGAAAACCATATTGTTGTGTGCAGGTTAAAAATGACTGGTATCAGGGGCTACACACTAATGATGAGGTCATGAAAAAAGATGTTATAGGTGTAAAATTCCGGAATTTTTCCAATACAAATGAAGGAATGCGAATAGTGGTTATTGATTTACATGAGAAGTAAGTTTATAAATTATTTGAAATAACCTGAAACAAGTTTCAAAAAATAAAACTGAACAAATGACTCAACACCGCAATATTCAAACTAAAGTAATACAAGTGAATTCAGTTACATTTGAATTGCCAGATCAGAATACTCAGTGTCCAACCCAAATCAAAGCAGAAGATATGTAATTTACATTTTACTTTATTTCAGTTCTCCTCCCCAAACCTTAACATTCGATTTTACCAAACGAAGAGACGGCGTTTATTTTGCGAAAAAGAGTGAAGGTATCATTTTTGAATATACCGATATAGTTGAAATGAAAAAAGAAATATAAAATTTAATATTTTGATACAGAACCAGCTGTTTTGGCTTCACACACTCTAACACCAGATGGAGGAACAAATAATAAAGCTAAAAAAATAGGTAATGTATAATTGAATTTACAGAATAGATTGATGATGGTAAATACATTGACATTCCAAAATATAAAACATTTTAATATTCAGATGATGCCTTATTCGATGGTGATATTCTGACTCTATGTGATGAAAAGAACTATTTGGTCTATGCATTCTGCAGTCTCTCAGGTATTTTATGCCACTTTTCATTTAGTTTCAATGACAATTTCCTCCCAGTAGCATTGATAGAACTCACAATAAAGGAAATTGAACTCACTCAAGAGTAAGTAATATAATTAGTACCGGTAAGTAATAAAAATCAGTTACTTGGGAGGTTCATTCACAAGGAATGCCTGCTCACTAGTGAAGGTAGTATCACATTGCATGTGAGGTGGAACTTGGGGGGAGGGGGGGCTGGGGGGAAGCAACCAACTAAAAGTGCAATAACGGACCAGACTATCCTTTCCTCTCCAGGCTGTACATAAGACAACAAATATTTCAAAAATTCCAAAAAGTGACACAAATCAATCGCCTTCCTAGAGCGATTTATATCGGTATTTATATCGGGACAATTTCTTTTCAGATGAATGGGTTGTCTGGGTGGCATTTCCAAGCCTGAATCCAACTATTCATCAAATTAGTTTGATGTGGAACAAGCTCATTGAGAAAGGAATCATTGTACAACTTTATCCTTCTAAAACTGTTGAACATCCAGAGTTTATGGAAAGTTTGAAGTGACACGATCATTCAATACTAAGTTATAACCTTGAACAGAAATCCATTTATTTAAAATTATAACACTGCAGTATACTATTCGGTACAACTATTATATTCTAGAAAAAAAAAAGACAGTAAGAAAACTACTGGAGTACTTTTATATAGAATTTCAGGTCTTATGCCATGTCTCTTTCAGTTTTATTGTTATTATGTTGTGCTTTCTTCAAGTTGTATATTATACAATGAAGACATGATGCAAATGTTTAAACGCTCTTGTTGGCAATTTTGAACTAGAGGAATTCCAACTTTATCGTCCTTAATTTGATGAGATAATTTAAAAATTTAGTTCATTGTTAATAGATTTAAACAAAAATATAGTTGTTTGATATTTTGGGGGTGGATATCACAGTACATTAGATAGAGTACATATATATATATATTCATTTAAGCCTATATCTCTAATCAGTGTGTGTAAATAGCATTACAATGATAAAACATCAAAAATTAGAATATAATAGAATTCTACATATTTGTATAGAAAAAGGATTGGATGAAGGAACAATGCATGTTCCACATAGCCAGACAGTATAAACAAAAAAATTACGTATTCACATTGCCTTCTTTAGAAAATATAACATCAACAAGTGCACAAATATATGTAGGCCTACAGAATGCAAAATGTGAACGGACAGTCTGTTCTATCACTTGAATAAATAAGGATGTCAATTGCACACTTCCGATTTAACTATTATTGCTAAAATATCCGTAGAGTGTAGACTTTCCGTTGAAACTATTCATAACAGAAATATAAAATATCAGGAATGCTGTAGATTAGATAATTGTTATTACCAACAAACCCTAAAAGTTTCCAGGGTTATAAAAAGATGTAATTCTGTAGTTTTCATAAATAAGATTCAGCAGCCTTAAAATATATTGCTAACCCTTCTGAAACAGTCGCCGCGATTACACGCTCGTTAATAAAAGAGTCGACTATTTTAGCGCATATCGATTTTTTTGTCGTATAAAATATTCAATTCATGACAGCTACGAAAATCTAAAATTCATTTCTATATCAATATAATTGTGCCCAACATAACTCGTGGTTGCGTTTTTTGCGTCAAAATAAGAACATTACTACTCTAAAATACCACGTCAATTTATTGACATAAAAATATGAGATAAACATGCCTAATTGTATTTAGTTTTGATACTTATTTTTGCGACCTTGGGAATTCGTTATCAGTGTTTGAAAAATCTCAAGATCTGTAATAAAATCCTGTAAAGTACAATTAAACACATATGAAGTATATCAGTATATCAAAAACACATGTTCAAAACACTAGATATGAAAGAATTTGAATGTTTGTACAAAAAAAGATGGATGAAGCCCCTAAATGTATTAACATGTTCATGGAAATGTGAATCTATTGTTCCCTTTCTGCCTCCTCTCTCATCGAAGTCTTTTGGTCTTTCTGCTTGTGTCTGCCTCATATTAATATGCTAATGCTATATAGTTGAGTAAAAGGCTATGTTGCACAGCCAACATGAGATGGACATAAATATTCCACTCCCTTTTTTTTTTATCTTATTGCAGTGACTTGACTAAGAACGGACAATTCGAATAACTGAATCTGGGGGATCTGTTACTGCAATTCAGTTTATGCATCTTCGCAGCATGTGGCGATTTTTGTAATTTGGATATCTAATTTAATATTCATAGAAAAGCAGTTTCTCTTGCGTCTGAATCTTTCTTGTTAGGTTATACTTGCGTTTGATTGCAAAGCACACATAAAAGTAGTAGGCACCAAGCACCGTAAATGTAGTCGGCATAATCAGAACTAGGACAGTGATGAATATGTCACTGCGAAGACTCGTTATTGCATCATTTTTGCATTTTCAGTTTTATGATCTAGTTAGCACACGAAAATTACTGGCCTTTTCTAATTGCAAAAACCTTCAGTTTTTGACAAACGCATCATGTTTCTTTTACATTTCATGATTTTTCGCACCCTATGAGTTGACCTGATAAATGGATGTAAACCAAAAACCAGATGTCGATGTTAGAACCTAAGATTTAATATTGTTTGTGATTTATTCGAATTAACTTACGCCTTTTACAAAAATGGCAAAGTATATTGTAAAACAATTAAACAATGCATTATGCCATATTTATTCTGCCATTCCAATAGATTAAGTATTTTTCAAATTTCATGTCTACAATAAGTTGTCATATTGTCCAAAACCGGCACACGTTAGGTCAAATATTTTGGTCACCGATAGTTGAAATAAGTTGCCACTGTTATTCAATCATGTCCTTAAAGTTTCCTTGTGGGTAAGATACAAGTAGGTAGTGGACAAAGAGAAAGAATATGCAGTTCAAACCCAATATTATGGTACTGCGCATACAGAAGAATAATATATTCAAAAATAGCAGACTTACTGATACTGAATTGTTGTTTGATATTTTTGGGGTGGAAATCACAGTACATTAGTTATAGTATACATATATATCTATTAAAGCTTTATATTTGTAAATGTATAAGTGTGTGTAAATAGCACTACAATGATAAAACATCAAAAATTAGGATATATGATAGAATTCTACATATTTGTACAGAAAAAGGATCGGATGAATGACAAATGAATAAACATTTTCTTGAAAATGTGAATCTATTGATTTCTTTAGCCTCCTCTTACAAGGAACAATGCATGTTCCACATAGCCAGACAGTATAAACAAAACAAAAAAATACGATACTCATTTCACACTGCCTTCTTCAGGAATTTTAACATCTTCACAACACCAATATATGTACAGAATGCAAGACCTGTAACAGACAGTCTGCTCTATGACTTGGATAAGTAAGGATGTCAATTGCACTCTTCCGATTCAAATATTAGTATCTATTGACTTTTCGATGCAACTATTCATAATCTAATTCTGAAATCTCACAAATTGTTGTAAATTTGGATAACTCACCAATAAACTTTAAAGTTTTCAGGGTTAGGAAAGTACATAATTTTGTGGTTTTTAAAACTAAGATTTAGCAACTTGAAAATGAAATGATGACCTTGAAGAACATATTGCGTATTTCACTTTTGATGCTTGCTATAGGCATCGAGATTAACCAGGCAAAAAAATGTAAAATTCCAGAGAACAATGAAGATATCGACTGGGATAAGGTATGTATATAATTAAATAGTAAAGCCCTAACCTTCAAGCAATCTTTAATATATATGAAACATTCATTATCCGCTTACACTTTTTATCAAAAACTTGATTAAAACAACATCAGGACTTCAAATACATTCATCTCCCATACTCCCAATAATATATCTGGAGATTTCAACATCTTCACTGAACTTGGCTTTCTTATTATTGTGTGCAGGTAAAGAATGACTGGTATTTGGTGCTACACACCAACGATGAGATCATGAAAAAAGATGTTATAGGTGCAAAATTACAGAATATCTCTAATACAAATGAAGGAATGCGAATGGTGATTACTGATTTACATGAGAAGTACGTTTATAATATATTTCAAATAAACTGAAAAAAGTTGAAAAAAAAAACGAAGCAATGATTTAACACTGCAATATTCAAACTAAAGTATACAAGTGAATTTAGTTACATGAATTGAAAGATCAGACTATTCAGTGTCCAACCCAAATCAAAGCTGCATTCAAAACCAGATGATATGTAATGGTACATTTTACTTTATTTCAGTTCTCCTCCCCAAACCTTTACAAGTCATAAGACCAAACGAAGAGACGGCGTTTATTATGGGGAAAAGAGCGAAGGTATTATTTTTAAATATACCTATATAGGTAAAATGAAATGAAAAATTCAATATTTTGATACAGAGCCAGCTTCTTCGGCTTCTCACACTCTAACACCAGATGGAGGAACAAATAATAAAGCGAAAATAATAGGTAATGTATAATTGAATTTACAGATTAAATTGGCAATGGTAAAATACATTGACAATCAAAAAGTTGAAACATTTTAATATTCAGATGATGCCTTATTCAATGGTGATATTCTGGCTTTATGTGACGAAAAGAATTTTTTGCTCAATGCATTCTGCAGTCTTTCAGGTATTTTATGCCACTTTTCATTTAGTTTCAATGACAACTTACTCTCAGTAGCATTGATAGAACTCACAATATAAGGGATTAAACTCACTCAAGAGTCTGATAAGTAATTAAAATCACTCACTTAAAAACATTCAAGGAGGTTCATTCACAAGGAATGCCTGCTCACCAGTGGAGGTAGCACCACATTGCACGTAAGGAAATTGGGGGAAAAGCAACCAACTATAAAACTGCAATACCGGACTAAACTATTTTTTCCTCTCCAGGCTGTACATAAGACAACGAATCTTTCAAATTTTCAAAAAAGTGACATAAACCAATTGAATATGTGTAGATTCCTAGAGCGATTTATATCAGTATTTATATCGGATCAATATCTTTTCAGATGAATGGGTTGTCTGGGTTGCATTTCCAACCCTGAATCCAACTATTCATCAAATTAGTTTAATGTGGAACAAGCTCATTGAGAAAGGAATCGTTGTACAACTTTATCCTTCTAAAACGGTTGCACATCCAGAGTTGATGGAAAGTTTGAAGTGACAAGATCATTCAATACTGAGTTATAACGATGAACACAGATCTATTTAATAAGAATTATAATACTGCAGTATACTATTTAGTACAACTATTATATTCTAGAAAAAATAAAGACAGTAAGAAAACTACTGGAGTACTTTTATATAGAATTTTAGGTATTATGCCATGTCTCTTTCAGTTTCATTGTTATTATGTTGTGTTATATTCAAGTTGTAAATTATACAATGAAGACATGATGCAAATGTTTCAACGCTATTGTTTGCAATTTGAAACCGGAGGAATTCATTTTTATCCTTCACAATTTGATGAGATAAGATAAAAATTTAGTTCATTGTTAATAGATTTCAACAAAAATATAGTTGTTTAATATTTTGGGGGTGGATATCACAGTACATTAGACAGAGTATATATATATATATATATATATATATATAGTGAAGCCTCTATTTGTAATTGTATGAGTGTGTGTAAATAGCACTACAATGATAAAACATCAAAAATTAGAATATGATAGAATTCTAAATATTTGTACAAAAAAAGGATTGGATGAAGCACAAATGAATAAACATATTCTTGATCTCTTTTGCCTCCTCTTCCATGGAACAATGCATGTTCCACATAGCCAGACGGTATAAACAAAAAAAAAATGTTTTCACATTGTCTCCTTCAAAAAATATAACATCAAGTGCACAAATATATGTAAAGAATGCAAAACATGAACAGACAGTCTGTTCTATGACTTGGATAAGTAAGAATGTCAATTGCACACTTCCGATTTAACTATTATTGCTAGAATATCTGTAGAGTGCAGACTTTTCGTTGAAACTATTCATAACAGAATTATAAAATATCATGAATTGCTATAGATTTGGATAACTCACCAACCAACCCTATAAGTTTTCGGGGTTATAAAAAGATGTAATTCTGTAGTTTTCATAACTAAGTTTCAGCAGCCTTAAAATATAATGCTAACCTTGACAAATATAAGGTTTATTTCACTCAATTTTCAAAAACGGAAATTCCCATTTCCTTCTGAAACAGCCGACGCAATTACGCGCTCGTTAAAATAGCCGACTATTTCAGCGCATATCGACTTTTTTGTCGCGTAACATATTCAATTCATGACAGCTACGAGAATCCAAAATTCATTTCTATATCAATATAATTGTGCCCAACTTAACTCGGGGTTTTTGCGTCAAAATAAGAACATTACTACTCTAAAATACCACGTCAAACTATTGACATAAAAATATGAGATAAACATGCCTAATTGTATTTAGTTTTGATACTTATTTTTGCGACCTTGCGAATTCGTTATCAGTGTTTGAAAAATCTCAAAATATGTAATAAAATCCTGTGAGGTACAATTAAATACATATGAAGTATATCAGTATATCAAAAACACATGTTCAAAACAATAGATATGATAGAATTTAAATATTTGTACAAGAAAAGATGGATGAATCACCTAAATCAGGGGTCTCAAACTCAATTTACTTGGGGGCCGCTGGGCCAGAGTCTGGGCCGCATCAGGTTTTCCACAATAAAAGCTTAGCAACTCGTTTAAATTGTATTCCTTGTGCACTGTAACTTTAACTGTGCAGATAAAACATGTCGGGATGCTCCTATGCTCAACAAAGAAATACTGCATTTCCCAGTTTTTTTAAATAACTGTTGTGCTGATGTTTTAATCAAGCATTTAGCCGATGGACAGTGATGATTCGCCACAAGGGAAACATGGTTACAATGTATCAAGATAAAACTAAGCGTTAGTGATTGTGACGTCAAAAATCATGGAACACTGTTTTTAAATTATTTCAGGCGGTCCCGCGATCAAATATCAGGCCTACAGGCATAGTACTGGTAGGTTACTGCACCGCATATTTTCCTTCCAGGGGATAGATGATAAAATATTTTGTTTTGCCCTACGTGACTATATCATATATTATGGAGTTTCCCTTTTTAGGCCACGGAACACTTACACTTTTTATATCACCTCGCGGAACACCATAACCATTTGTCTTTAACAAAACCCCGTACTGTAAATTTGATAATGAAATTAACAGTCAAAAAGCTAAACCGACGGTTAACGAAAATGCCACTACCCTAACATAGTTAGTTTAGGCCGACGGTGACGCGATTTCAAATGGTCAGTTGGGCAACAACTTCATGATTCTAAGATCGCCATTGCGACCAATTTAGGCGTATTTTCGATTCCTTTTCCACGCAACACTCGCAAGATGCTCGCGAAACATTATTGTTCAGCGGAACACAGTTTGGGAAGCGCTGTTATATTGAAAGCATAAATCATGCTAACTGAGCTAAGTGACTTGCGGGCCGCACTAACATTAAACTTTAATACCAAGGCGGGGGCCACAAACTATCATCCTGCGGCCGGAATTGGCCCGCGAGCCGCAAGTTTAAGACCCCTGACCTAAATGTATTAACATGTTCATGGAAATGTGAATCTATTGATCCCTTTCTGCCTCCTCTTTCAATAAACGAAGTACGGTCACAGAGTGACATTTCACACATTTAATCAATTTTACTATATCAAGATCTTGATGATTTGCTATTTTTAGAATGCTAATTGGTAGCAGTAACACTGATGTATTTATTTTCACTTTTGACTTTAAACCAAATATTTTTCAAACAGCGAGACAAAACGAGTGATGTCACGGAGTGACAAAAAAGTTGAATGCATAAAATGACTGCGAAATATCAAACAAATTTCGCCAAAAGAATCAAGTCATATCATCTATAATAACTTCTATAATAATATCATCTATAATAATATTAATCTCTATATTTGAGCAAAATTTATTTTACAACAAACATTTTTCAGGAAGCAGCCAAATTATTCAGCTCCGTGTCGTCACGGAGTGACAAAAATTCCTTGTCATTGAAATGGTATAAAGAATGTTGAACAATTACGGTAGTTGTATTAGCTCAAAATTTATTACCGGTATATGTTTGAAATTACAAAACATTGAAACAAAAAATTTGGAAATATGATGTTCTTTTTGTCTTTCTGCTTGTGTCTGCCTCATATATTGACATTAAAATGATAATGCGATTGTACAAACTTTAATCTATATAGTTGAGTAAAAGGCTATGTTGCACAGCCAACATGAAACGGACATAAGTATTCCACTCCTATATTTTTTTGGATCTTATTGCAGTCACTAAGAATGGACAACTCAAAATACTGAATCTGGGGCATCCGTTAATGCAATTCAGTTTAAGCATCTTCGCACAACATGGCGATTTTTGTAATTTAGATAACTATGTTATTAATCATAGAAAAGCATTTTCTCTTGCGCCTATATCTTTCTTGTTAGGTTATACTTGTGTTTGATTGCAAAGCACACATAAAAGTAGTAGGCACCAAGCACCGTAAATGTAGTCGGCATATTGAGAACAAGAGGACAGTGATGAATATGTCACTGCGAAGACACGTTATTGCATCATTTTTGCACTTTCAGCTTTATGATCTACCTAGTTGGCACATGAAAATTACTGGCGTTTTCTAATTGCAAAAACCTTCAATTTTTGACAAACGCATCATGTTTCTTTTACATTTTATGATTTTTCGCACCTTATGAGTTGACCTGATAAATGGATGTAAACCAAAAACCAGATCTCGATTTTTGTGAATTATTTGAATTACGGTAACTTACGCATTTTACAAAAATGTCAAAGTATATTGAAAAACAATGCATTTTGCCATATTTATTCTGCCATTCCAATAGATTATGTATTTTTCAAATTTCTTGTCTACAATAAGTTGTCATATTGTCCAAAATGGCACACATTAGGTCAAATATTTTAGTCACCGATAGTTTAAAAAAGTTGCCACTGTCACTCAATCATGTGAGGTTACGGAGTGACAAGATTTCTCAAAGCGCTGCGAAAGAACAACAAGCAACTATCAACTGCCAAATTGGTAAAGAATTGGGCCTAAGCCCCAAAGTGACGTCCCCCAGTTTTTGAGGCAAATAGTTATTGAAATATATCAGATAAAAAGTTGAAAAATTGTCACGGAGTGACACGTCATGCAGTGACAACACAAGGCAAATTCCCATAGCTCTGTTTAGCCCAGTGTTGCCAGTGTTGCACAATGCAATATTTAGATTAAGCACAGATATCAGAAATAAAACTTAACACATACTTTGATTGACCAAATACATTTTAAGGTAACAAAAATAGTTTATGATACGAAACTAATGAAAATTGGACAGAAAACCATCAATTAATCCATTGATAAAAAATCAATGATTTTGAGTCTAATCTGTAACTTCTCATGCTATTTTGAAAACTTCAAGATATGTCCTATGCTTCCTGCAGTTTAATATTTCAATTAGACAAGTTATAATTTTTACCAAATTTTCAACTCATTTAGGAATTGTTGTATAAACAAAATGAAATTCGTATTTCACACCGACTTGTTTAGAAGATACAGCATCATCATGTGCACAAATATATGTACAGAATGCAAAACTTGTAACGAACAGCTTGTTCTATGACTTAGATAAGCAAGAATGTCTATTGCAAACGTTCAATTTGATTACTATTTCTACAGTATCTGTAGACTCTTTTAGACATTGTGAATATGCATAAAATGAAATATCACAAACAACTGGGCTATGAAACTATTAATTTTGTAGTTTATAGAACTAAGATTTAGCAGCTTCAAAACAAAATGCTAACCTTGAAAAACATATTGTATATCTAACTTTTGTGCTTGCTATAAGCATCGAGATTAATCAGGCAAAAGAATGTAGAATTCCAGAGAACAATGAAGACATCGACTGGGATAAGGTATGTATATATATATCCATTGAAGCTTATACTTGTAAGTGTGTGTAATAGCACAGTCTACAATGATAAAACATCAAAAATTAGGATATGATAGAATTCTACATATTTGTACAGAAATAGATTTAGATGAAGCACAAATGAATAAACATATTCTTGAAAATGTGAATCTATTGATCTCTTTTGCCTCCTCTTCCAAGGAACAATGCATGTTCCACATAACCAGGCAGTATAAACAAAAAAATTATGTATTCACATAGTCTTCTTTAGAAAATATAACATCATCAAGTGCACAAATATATGTACAGGATGCAAAACGTGAACAGACACTAAACATTACAATATCATCTCACAATAGACAGTATAAACAAAAAAATTACGTAATCACAATGCCAACATCATCAAGTGCATAAATATATGTACAGAATGCAAAATGTGAACAGACACTCTGTTCTATGACTTGGATAAGTAAGGATGTCAATTGCACTCTTCCGATTCAAATATTATTGCTACAGTATCTATTGACTTTTCGATTCAATTATTCATAATCTAATTCTGAAATCTCACAAATTGCTGTAAATTTGGATAATTCACCAATAAACTTTAAAAGTTTTCAGGGTTAGGAAAGTACATAAAATTGTGGTTTTCAAAACTAAGATTTAGCAGCTTTAAAATAAAATGATGACCATGAAGAACATATTGCGTATTTCACTTTTGATGCTTGCTATAGGCATCGAGATTAACCAGGCAAAAAAATGTAAAATTCCAGAGAACAATGAAGATATCGACTGGGATAAGGTATGTATATAATTAAATAGTAAAGCCCTAACCTTCAATCAATCTTTAATATATATGAAACATTCATTATCCGCTTACACTTTTTTTCAAAAACTTGATTAAAACAACATTAGGACTTCAAATACATTCATCTCCCATACTCCCAATGATATATCTGGAGATTTCAACATCTTCACTGAACTCGGCTTTCTTATTATTGTGCGCAGGTAAAGAATGACTGGTACTTGGTGCTACACACCAACGATGAGATCATGAAAGAAGATGTTATAGGTGTAAGATTACGGAATATCTCCAATACAAATGAAGGAATGCGAATGGTGCATACTGATTTACATGAGAAGTATGTTTATAATATATTTCAAATAAATTGAAAAAAGTTGAAAAAAAAACGAAGCAATGATTTAACACTGCAATATTTAAACTAAAGTATACAAGTGAATTTAGTTACATTTGAATTGAAAGATCAGACTATTCAGTGTCCAACCCAAACAAAGCTGCATTCAAAACCAGAAGATATGTAATTGTACATTTTACTTTATTTCAGTTCTCCTCCCCAAACCTTTACAAGTCATACGACCAAACGAAGAGATGGCGTTTATTATGGGGAAAAGAGCGAAGGTATTATTTTTAAATATACCTATATAGTTAAAATGAAACAAAAATAAATAAAGAATTCAATATTTTGAAACAGAACCAGCTGCTTTGGCTTCACACACTCTAACACCAGATGGAGGAACAAATGATAAAGCGAAAAAAATAGGTACCTAATGTATAATTAAATTTACAGATTAAATTGGCAATGGTAAAATACATTGACAATCAAAAAGTTAAAACATTTTAATATTCAGATGATGCCTTATTCAATGGTGATATTCTGGCTCTATGTGACGAAAAGAATTTTTTGGTCAATGCATTCTGCAGAATTTCAGGTATTTTATGCCACTTTTCATTTAGTTTCAATGACAATTTACTCTCAGTTGCATTGATAGAACTCACAATATAAGGGATTAAACTCACTCAAGTACGGTAAGTAATTAAAATCACTCACTTAAAAACATTCAAGGAGGTTCATTCACAAGGAATGCCTGCTCACCAGTGGAGGTAGCACCACATTGCACGTAAGGAAATTGGGGGAAAAGCAACCAACTATAAAACTGCAATACCGGACTAAACTATTTTTTCCTCTCCAGGCTATACATAAGACAACAAATCTTTCAAAATTTCAAAAAAGTGACATAAACCAATTGAATATGTGTAGATTCCTAGAGCGATTTATATCAGTATTCATATCGGATCAATATCTTTTCAGATGAATGGGTTGTCTGGGTGGCATTTCCAACCCTGAATCCAACTATTCATCAAATTAGTTTAATGTGGAACAAACTCATTGAGAAAGGAATCATTGTACAACTTTATCCTTCCAAAACAGTTGAACATCCAGAGTTGATGGAAAGTTTGAAGTGACAAGATCATTCAATACTGAGTTATAACGATGAACAAAGATCTATTTAAAAAGAATTATAATACTGCAGTATACTATTTAATACAACTATTATATTCTAGAAAAAAATAAAAACAGTAAGAAAACTACTGGAGTACTTTTATATATATAATATTAGGTCTTATGCCATGTCTCTTTCAGTTTCATTGTTATTATGTTGTGCTATATTCAAGTTATAAATTATACAATGAAGACATGATGCAAATGTTTCAACGCTATTGTTTGCAATTTGAAACTAGAGGAATTCATTCTTATCCTTCACAATTTGATAAGATAAGATAAAAATTTAGTTCATTGTTAATAGATTTAAACAAAAATATAGTTGTTTGATATTTTGGGTTGGATATCACAGTACATTAGATAGAGTATATATATACAGTGAAGCCTATATTTGTAATTGTAAAAGTGTGTGTAAATAGCACTACAATGATAAAACATCAAAAATTGGGATATGATAGAATTCTATATATTTGCACAGTAAAAGGACTGGATGAAGGACAAATGAATAACTATTTTCTTGAAAATGTGAATCTATTGATCTATTTTGCCTCCTCTTCCAAGGAACAATGCATGTTCCACATAGCCAGACAGTATAAACAAAAAAATTATGTATTCACATTGCCTTCTTTAGAAAATATAACATCAACAAGTGCACAAATATATATAGGCCTACAGAATGCAAAATGTGAACGGACAGTCTGTTCTATCACTTGAATAAATAAGGATGTCAATTGCACACTTCCGATTTAACTATTATTGCTAAAATATCTGTAGAGTGTAGACTTTCCGTTGAAACTATTCATAACAGAAATATAAAATATCAGGAATTGCTGTAGATTTAGATAATTGTTACTACCAACAAACCCTAAAAGTTTCCAGGGTTATAAAAAGACGTAATTCTGTAGTTTTCATAAATAACCCTTCTGAAACAGTCGCCGCGATTACACGCTCGTTAATAAAAGAGTCGACTATTTTAGCGCATATCGACTTTTTTGTCGTATAAAATATTCAATTCATGACAGCTACGAAAATCTAAAATTCATTTCTATATCAATATAATTGTGCCCAACATAACTCGTGGTTGCGTTTTTTGCGTCAAAATAAGAACATTACTACTCTAAAATACCACGTCAATTTATTGACATAAAAATATGAGATAAACATGCCTAATTGTATTTAGTTTTGATACTTATTTTTGCGACCTTGGGAATTCGTTATCAGTGTTTGAAAAATCTCAAGATCTGTAATAAAATCCTGTAAAGTACAATTAAACACATATGAAGTATATCAGTATATCAAAAACACATGTTCAAAACAATAGATATGATAGAATTTGAATATTTGTACAAAAAAAGATGGATGGAGCCCCTAAATGTATTAACATGTTCATGGAAATGTGAATCTATTGTTCCCTTTCTGCCTCCTCTCTCATCGAAGCCTTTTTGTCTTTCTGCTTGTGTCTGCCTCATATTAATATGCTAATGCTATATAGTTGAGTAAAAGGCTATGTTGCACAGCCAACATTAGATGGACATAAATATTCCACTCCCATTTTTTTTTATCTTATTGCAGTGACTTGACTAAGAACGGACAATTCGAATAACTGAATCTGGGGGATCTGTTACTGCAATTCAGTTTATGCATCTTCGCACCATGTGGCGATTTTTGTAATTTGGATATCTAATTTAATATTCATAGAAAGGCAGTTTCTCTTGCGTCTGAATCTTTCTTGTTAGGTTATACTTGCGTTCGATTGCAAAGCACACATAAAAGTAGTAGGCACCAAGCACCGTAAATGTAGTCGGCATAATCAGAACTAGGACAGTGATGAATATGTCACTGCGAAGACTCGTTATTGCATCATTTTTGCATTTTCAGTTTTATGATCTAGTTAGCACACGAAAATTACTGGTGTTTTCTAATTGAAAAACCTTCAGTTTTTGACAAACGCATCATGTTTCTTTTACATTTCATGATTTTTCGCACCCTATGAGTTGACCTGATAAATGGATGTAAACCAAAAACCAGATGTCGATGTTAGAACCTAAGATTTAATATTGTTTGTGATTTATTCGAATTAACTTACGCCTTTTACAAAAATGGCAAAGTATATTGTAAAACAATTAAACAATGCATTATGCCATATTTATTCTGCCATTCCAATAGATTACGTATTTTTCAAATTTCGTGTCTACAATAAGTTGTCATATTGTCCAAAACCGGCACACGTTAGGTCAAATATTTTGGTCACCGATAGTTGAAAAAAATTGCCACTGTCATTCAATCATGTCCTTAAAGTTTCCTTGTGGGTAAGATACAAGTAGGTAGTGGACAAAGAGAAAGAATATGCAGTTCAAACCTCATATTATGGTACTGTGCATACAGAAGAATAATATTTTCAAAAATAGCAGACTTACTGATACTGAATTGTTGTTTGATATTTTTGGAGTGGAAATCACAGTACATTAGTTATAGTATACATATATATCTATTAAAGCTTATATTTGTAAATGTATAAGTGTGTGTAAATAGCACTACAATGATAAAACATCAAAAATTAGAATATATGATAGAATTCTACGAATTTGTACAGAAAAAGGATCGGATGAATGACAAATGAATAAACATTTTCTTGAAAATGTGAATCAATTGATCTCTTAAGCCTCCTCTTACAAGGAACAATGCATGTTCCACATAGCCAGACAGTATAAACAAAACAAAAAAATACGATACTCGTTTCACACTGCCTTCTTCAGGAATTTTAACATCTTCACAACACCAATATACGAGGTGTGGCTAAAAAGAAACGAGACTGACGTCACAGATTGCGCAACACGATTAACCATCGGTAATCAACACTTTTACAGTGTGGCGTAATATGTGTTCTTTGTTCAACAGCTGTTTTGACACAACATCGCAATTATTTTTGCTTTTTAGAAGCCATAAGTGAATGTGATTAACTGCTTGTTGAAAAAATTGCTGTGCGAGATCTGATTGAGTTTTTAGGCAATAGGGGGTTCAATTAAAGAATGACGACTGAGCAAAGAATTAACATTAAATTTTGTGTCAAACTTGGAAAAACGGCGACTGAGACTTTGCAGATGTTGCGTGATGTTTATGGAGATTATTCCATGTCCAGAGCAAGAGTTTTTGAATGGCCCAAGCGATTTGTGGGAGGCAGGGAGGATGCGGAGGATGATCCGAAGTCAGGGAGGCCTTGCACTTCCACTACTGATTCCAACATCGAAAAGGTTGGGCAGTTGGTTCGCAGTGACCGTCGCTTAACAATTCGCGTCATTGCCAACGAAATTGGGATGGACAAAGAAACGGTCCGCACCATTTTGGTTGACACTTTGGGCATGCGAAAGGTTTGTGCCAAAATGGTGCCAAGGCTCTTGACTGATGAGCAGAAAGCTCAACGATTGAATGCATGCCGAGACATCCTTCAGCAGATAGAAGCAGACGAAAAACTCTTGGAAAACATCATCACAGGAGACGAGTCATGGGTCTTTCAATATGATCCGGAAACAAAACGACAGAGTCGTCAGTGGAAAAGTGTGTCCTCTCCCAGACCAAAGAAAGCCCGCATGCAACGTTCACAAGTGAAAGTGATGCTCATCGCCTTCTTTGACCACCAGGGAATGGTGCATCATGAGTTTGTTCCCCAAGGACAAACGGTTAACCAACACTTTTACAAGGAAGTTATGACTCGTCTTGTCAACAAAATTCGTCAGAAACGAAGAGCTTCCTGGGCGGGAAAAACTTGGATCTTGCATCACGACAACGCTCCTGCCCACACAGCCCTCAGCGTGAAACAGTTCTTGGTCTCGAAAGAAATCACCACGTTGCATCATCCACCTTATTCGCCGGACTTAGCCCCTTGCGATTTCTTTCTTTTTCCAAAGCTGAAGGGGATTCTCAAGGGGACACGCTTCCAAGGAGTCGAGGATATCAAGACCAGCGTGACTAGACACCTCAAAACCATTACAAAAGAAGAATTTTCACAGTGCTTTAAAGCGTGGTCAAAAAGAATGGAAAAGTGCATAAAAGCCAATGGGGAATATTTCGAAGGGGACAAGTAGAGATGGCTTAGGGCAGTGGTTCTTAAACTTTTTCGAGCGCGACCCAAATCTGAGTTTTATGAATACTCGCGACCCAATCCTAAATAACGCAAAATGTGTTTTTAGTGTTAGTACAGTTTGACTCAAATACAGACAACTATTTATTAGAAACAGTCCATTGACTCAGTGAGATTGATGAAACGGAAATTTCCTTTTCATTATAACTTCAATACACAGCTCTATTTTACTTAACGCAATACGCAAGTTGTCACGGGTATCGAGGCGATTGCGAGCTTAGTTTTGTTAACCGTCAGTGCCAAATATCCTCGCTCGCACAAATGCCTTGTCGCGAATTGTAGCAGAAAAGGCGCCCGCTGTCCGTCGCAAACACGACATCCTAGCTGGCCTTCGGTATCTCTCGCAATATACAACTTTTTACTAATCAAATGTGCACGCACTGCTTCGTTCGCGGTAAATGGTGCCTCGAGATGAAGTCACATTTTCTCTAGATATTGAATAATCTAATGTCGAGAAGCGAGCTTTTTCATTGCGTCGTCTATTACAATTTACATTACCAAAAAGACACCCATTTTTGGGTATTTTAATCCACTAAGACGACATTCCACGCGGTCAACACAACGACAAGCGACGTGCATGGTTATTGGTTACCGATACCATAAAAATAATACACGTGACTGGCATATCAGAATTGTGATGTAACAATGAGCTCAAGACAGTTTTTTCCGTGAATGACATTTTATATTTCATTATTTTTAAATACCAGAGTTTAGAAGCTAAATTGAAAAATTGGGAAAGCTGAAAATTCGTCCTTCTCCTCTTAGATTGCCCTTGCATTGACGACCTTGTCGCGACCCATTTTTAAACCTTCCGCGACCCATGTTTGGGTCGCGACCCATACTTTAAGAACCACTGGCTTAGGGCGTGTATGTGTTAGACAATGCAGACATTGTACGATATGCATCTAAATAAACTTCTAAATTCAATAGTCTCGTTTCTTTTTAGCCACACCTCGTATGTACAGAATGCAAGACCTGTAACAGACAGTCTGTTCTATGACTTGGATAAGTAAGGATGTCAATTGCGCTCTTCCGATTCAAATATTATTGCTACAGTATCTATTGACTTTTCGATTCAATTATTCATAATCTAATTCTGAAATCTCACAAATTGCTGTAAATTTGGATAATTCACCAATAAACTTTAAAAGTTTTCAGGGTTAGGAAAGTACATAAAATTGTGGTTTTTAAAACTAAGATTTAGCAGCTTTAAAATAAAATGATGACCATGAAGAACATATTGCGTATTGCACTTTTGATGCTTGCTATAGGCATCGAGATTAACCAGGCAAAAAAATGTAAAATTCCAGAGAACAATGAAGATATCGACTGGGATAAGGTATGTATATAATTAAATAGTAAAGCCCTAACCTTCAATCCATCTTTAATATATATGAAACATTCATTATCCGCTTACACTTTTTTTCAAAAACTTGATTAAAACAACATTAGGACTTCAAATACATTCATCTCCTATACTCCCAATGATATATCTGGAGATTTCAACATCTTCACTGAACTCGGCTTCCTTATTATTGTGCGCAGGTAAAGAATGACTGGTATATGGTGCTACACACCAACGATGAGATCATGAAAGAAGATGTTATAGGTGTAAGATTACAGAATATCTCCAATACAAATGAAGGAATGCGAATGGTGATTACTGATTTACATGAGAAGTATGTTTATAATTTATTTCAAATAAACTGAAAAAAGTTGAAAAAAAACGAAGCAATGATTTAGCACTGCAATATTCAAACTAAAGTATACAAGTGAATTTAGTTACATTTGAATTGGAAGATCAGACTATTCAGTGTTTAACCCAAATCAAAGCTGCATTCAAAACCAGAAGATATGTAATTGTACATTTTACTTCATTTCAGTTCTCCTCCCCAAACCTTTACAAGTCATAAGACCAAACGAAGAGACGGCGTTTATTATGGGGAAAAGAGCGAAGGTATTATTTTTAAATACACCTATATAGGTAAAATGAAATGAAAAATTCAATATTTTGATACAGAGCCAGCTTCTTTGGCTTCTCACACTCTAACACCAGATGGAGGAACAAATGATAAAGCGAAAAAAATAGGTAATGTATAATTGAATTTACAGATTAAGTTGGCAATGGTAAAATACATTGACAATCAAAAAGTTGAAACATTTTAATATTCAGATGATGCCTTATTCAATGGTGATATTCTGGCTTTATGTGACGAAAAGAATTTTTTGCTCAATGCATTCTGCAGTCTTTCAGGTATTTTATGCCACTTTTCATTTAGTTTCAATGACAATTTACTCTCAGTTGCATTGATAGAACTCACAATATAAGGGATTAAACTCACCCAAGAGTACGATAAGTAATCAAAATCACTCACTTAAAAACATTCAAGGAGGTTGATTCACAAGGAATGCCTGCACACCAGTGGAGGTAGCACCACATTGCACGTAAGGAAATTGGGAGAAAAGCAACCAACTATAAAACTGCAATACCGGACTAAACTATTTTTTCCTCTCCAGGCTGTACATAAGACAACGAATCTTTCAAATTTTCAAAAAAGTGACATAAACCAATTGAATATGTGTAGATTCCTAGAGCGATTTATATCAGTATTTATATCGGATCAATATCTTTTCAGATGAATGGGTTGTCTGGGTGGCATTTCCAACCCTGAATCCAACTATTCATCAAATTAGTTTAATGTGGAACAAGCTCATTGAGAAAGGAATCGTTGTATAACTTTATCCTTCTAAAACGGTTGCACATCCAGAGTTGATGGAAAGTTTGAAGTGACAAGATCATTCAATACTGAGTTATAACGATGAACACAGATCTATTTAATAAGAATTATAATACTGCAGTATACTATTTAGTACAACTATTATATTCTAGAAAAAATAAAGACAGTAAGAAAACTACTGGAGTACTTTTATATAGAATTTTAGGTCTTATGCCATGTATCTTTCAGTTTTATTGTTATTATGTTGTGCTATATTTAAGTTGTAAATTATACAATGAAGACATGATGCAAATGTTTCAACGTTATTGTTTGCAATTTTGAACTAGAGGAATTCATTTCTATCCTTCACAATCTGATGAGATAAGTTTAAAAAAATTAGTTCATGTTACAAAATTTAAACAAAAATATAGTTGTTTGATATTTTGGGGGTGGATATAACAGTACATTAGATATAGTATATATATATATATTCATTTAAGCTTATATCTGTAATTGGATAAATGTGTGTAAATAGCACTACAATGATAAAACATCAAAAATTAGGATATATGATAGAATTCTACATATTTGTACAGAAAAAGGATTGGATGAAGCATAAATGAATAAACATATTCTTGAAAATGTGAATCTATTGATCTCTTTTGCCTCCTCTTCCAAGGAACAATGCATGTTCCACATAGCCAGACAGTATATACAAAAAAAATGCGTTTTCACATTGCCTCCTTCAAGTGCACAAATATATGTGGGCCTACAGAATGTAAAACATGAACAGAGTCTGTTCTATGACTTGGATAAGTAAGAATGTCAATTGCACACTTCCGATTTATTAACTATTATTGCTAAAATATCTGTAGAGTGTAGACTCTTCGTTGAAACTATTCATAACAGAATTATAAAATATCATGAATTGCTGTAGATTTGGATAACTCATCAACCAACCTTAAAAGTTTTCGGGGTTATGAAAAAATGTAATTCAGTAGTTTTCCTAACTGCGTTTCAGCAGCCTTAAAATATAATGCTAACCTTGACAAATATAAGGTTTATTTAACTCAATTTTCAAAATCTGAAATTCCCATTTCCTTCTGAAACAGTCGCCGCAATTATGCGCTAGTTGAAAAAGCCGACTATTTCAGTGCGTATCGACTTTTTGACGCGTAAAATATTCAATTCATGACAGCTACGAGAATCTAAAATTTATTTCTATATCAATATAATTGTGCCCAACTTAACTCGCGTTTGCGTCTTTTTGCGTCGAAATAAGAACATTATTACTCTAAAATACCACGTCAATCTATTGACATAAAAATATGAGATAAACATGCCTAATTGTATTTTGTTTTGATACTTATTTTTGCGACCTTGCGAATTCGTTATCAGTGTTTGAAAAATCTCAAGATCTGTAATAAAATAGGTACAATTAAATACATATCAGGTATATCAGAATATCAAAATCACATGTTCAAAACACAAGATATGATAGAATTTAAATATTTGTACAAAAAAACTTGGATGAAGGACCTAAATGTATTAACATGTTCATGGAAATGTGAATCTATTGATCCCTTTCTGCCTCCTCTTTCATGAAACGAAGTACGCTCACAGAGTGACATTTAGCTTGTTTATCCAATTTTACTATATCAAGATCTTGATGATTTGCTATTTTTAGAATGCTTTTAGAATGTATTTACCATAATTCACTTTTGACTTTCAACCAAATATTTTTCAAACGGCGAGACAAAATAAGTGATGTCACGAGTGACAGAAAGTTGAATGCATAAAATGACTGCAAAATACCAAACAAATTTCGCCAAAAGCATTATGGCATATCATCTATAATAACTTGTCTCAAAATTCTAGAGATATTTATCTCTATATTTAAGCAAAATTCATTGTACAACAAACATTTTTCAGGAAGCAGCCGAATTATTCAGCTCAACTAGTTCCATGTCACTCTGTGACATCCAGAGTGACAAAAATTCCTTGTCCTTAAAATGGTATAGAGCAGTGGTTCTCAACCGGGGGCCACAAAGCAGTTCAAGGGGGGCCACGACACAAGGCTAGTAATTTAATATAAGGCGACTTCGTTTGCATTCTTTTCATTTAAAAGAAAATTCCCCGTTCCCCTCAGTTTTATTACTTCAGTCACTAGGTGTATTCACTTTTTTGTGTGTGCGAATTGTTTGAGCATAATGGAATTTAAAACCTACGGTACTAATCCGAATAGTTTGTTAGTAGGCCATCTAACAGCAGACGGGCAGTTTCCCGAGACTGCAAGATAAGGGTCGATATCATGTTAATATGCAGAAGCCTATGTGTAAATTCCCAATCCCCAAATGGAACGACAGTTGCGTTGGCTTTGGCTTTATACAGACATGGCTGCCGATGTATGGTAACAAGTTTGCTTTGAAATCAAGCAAAGGAGACTTTTCGAGTTTTTGGTTATTCCTTTGCGATTCTTACCTACTACTTAGTAAGAAAGCTTTTTCATTGCTAGTTTAGTTTGCCACAACCTATATGTGCGAATCTGTTTTTTCTGATCTTGTTATCAACAAAGCAAAATCTAGGAACCGTCCTGATGTTGACAGTGACAATCACCTGGCTATATCAAAGGCGGTGCCTAATATAAGGAACCTAGTCAGACAGTCCCAAGCGCAAGATTTCCAATGGTCGTTTACTAATCTAAAAAGCATTGACTTTTTTACCCATGGTTTGTTTTTGCATTCCATAAAAGGTCGCAAATACATAATACAATCTAACACGTCAATTTTGTTAGAATGACGAACAGGGGGGCCACGAGTGCAAAAAGCCCCCGAAAGGGGGCCACGAGCCGTAAAAGGTTGAGAACCACTGGTATAGAGAATGTTGAACAATTAGTTGTATTAGCTCAAAATTGGTTATATGTTTGAAATTACAAAACATTGAAACAAAAAATTAGGAAACATGATATGTGAGTGAGATACAAGTACGGTAGGTAGTGGACATTTTAGTGTTAACTCTAAGGAAATTATGAGTGCGAAAGTGCTTCGCAGTTGAAAAAAAAAGTGCGAAAGTGCTTTTGCCGATTTTAGCAAGTTAGGTGCCCTAGTTTCTGCTCAAATTCTTTTCAAACAGCGTAGATACTCGAAAAAGCGCTTCTTCGGTTAATATTGGGAATTAAAGTTGTGCCTTTCTGTTAACCGAATTTCGTTTTAACCCTTGTTTAAAACAAGCGAATTCATTGGTAACAAAGGACACCTGCTAAGCACACCTGTCGCAACCAAAACTTTGTGCAATCAAACCAACGGTGTCAGTACTCCTTTCATACGTACGTATGTACTCCTGCGAACGTACTCCTTTCCGTGAACAGCAATGCCTCGCACTTTTGGTTACTCCTTCCATCCAACAGACAGCGATTAATACACACAGCAATCGATATTACGGTAGTTACTACCGGCCATAGCCAGAGAGGTGGTCATTTGTACAAAGCAGGTGCTAAATAACATCCCCGGTCACTAATATGGGATTGACGTCATGTTTCTTCATCCTACTTTTTCTTTGAAAGATTACACAAATTCACTATGAAAGACGGCATCCCGCTATTTTGAGCAATAGGTTGACCTACTTTACAATTCAATAATAGCCATAAAAGGACTGTTATACCCTAATTTAAGACCTTCTCTTCAACTCCCTACACAATCATTTTCATTAATTCAAATCACGGCGCATCAAAAAGCAAGAATAAATTTATTAACATTAATTTCGAAGTAAGAGTTACGAGGAAGAATTCACCTACGACTGTCGCTAACAGAGGGAAACGATAAAAATGAGAATCTTTCAGTTATGGTGTTTTTTTCTTTCTGCGCCTATCATATCGGTTCAATTTGAGCGCTTCAAAGCCGTTTTTACGTTTAGAAACGTCAAACCAGATAAAGTAAGACAGGTACATAATGAATTCTATGGAATATGGAGATTTTAGGCAGGGATATTATTTTGACCATGTAGAATTGCTATCATTGCCGATTTATTTAATCAGTATATTTAATTCAAAGCAACACTGAGTATCCACGCAATGACGATTTTGCAGTGTGTCATAAAGTGTTTTATTTATTATTCAATACGAAAATAACACAGAAACGATAGAAATTAAAATCCTAAAAAGCCAGCTATTGTTAGCTTTATAAATATTTTCATCATGCCGTCAGTAATGATAATATTGTTAGCTAAAAACTAAGGTCGTAATTTACAAACTGTTATCGAACCAGATGATGAGATCAAAATGAAATTAAAAGGTTTATGAATTCACTACTTAATAGTGTCTTTAACATTTTCGCCCATGTGAACTCATATTTCGGCTTGAAATATAAATATAACTTCAATGTCCGCCGCTGCGTGAGAATTATCACTTGTGAAAAAAGTGCTTTAAAATATAGTGCAACAATAATTAGGATGTCGGCTGCTGAAACGGTTGCAGTGACAAAAATAATCCGCCAGGAAGTAAAAACTCCGCCTTGTTACCGAGTTTTCAGTCTTTAGCAAGTTTCTATTAAATAAAATAAATATTCAAATTATTCTATTAGGAAAAATCCGATTTTGCCTGTCTCTAATCACATTTACCTAAATAGTCATAGAATGACAATAAAAAGATTAACACTGAATTACCACGAGTGATAGTTTCACACATTTCATGCACACTTAATCGGTGTTTTTGTGCATATAAACGATTGTAACACCATTGATACTCGCGAGGTTTACTTTTATCTTGAAATTAATTTTCACTATTTTTATCGTTTTATTTCTAACATTTCTCACATTTGTTTCTTTCCGGGAATACCTCATTTATGAAAAATAAAAAATATGCTATGTGGTTACAACTAATTGCGAATTAAATAATGGTCGAAGATCAAGTATATTCTTGAAAAAGGCATACCAAATATTCACCAAACGACTACAGAGAGAGGCGAGCTACACGAAACTCTGGAATGTATTTAACAGACGTCTTTACGGAGTTGTAAATTGTACGATTAAAGCACTTATCGGTATTTAATTTTACCATATGACCCCCGTTGGAAAAATCCTGGCTGAGCGCCTTAAGTTCCTTAGACTTTCCTCTTGGTAAGTTGGTTACTCGATTACACTATAATATCATTATTATACACCTATTTAGGCATCTAATCGGACATCGAACAATTTCTAACTTGAAATAAATGAAAACCCAACAAGAACATATCATAATTAATACACAGATGTAAAATATAAACATTCATTTAAAAGTTATTATTTAGGGAAGACAACATGATCGTACAATTCCGCCCGATGTTGGCCAGTGAGATGATAAATAAATGCTTCCTGTGTATTCGATCAATCAACTTTAGCGTATCGTTGTTCTGAAAATAGCAGGAGTGCAAAATATTTCCGTCCAGTGATATCCTCACAAATATTCTCGGCATTAATATCATAACCTCGCATATCAGTGAGAAATAGTTGCATTTAATTTTTAACTCTGGTTTAAGTTCGATTTATAGAGAATGACTAGATAATATTAAATATCGCAAAATGGCACATGCTTTCGACATTCGTGGTTACAATAAAATGGCTGTTAATACGACCTATGTATGTTGTTAGTTTGGCGATTTTGCAAATCTGTGAGATGCTGCTAAAAGTTTCTACTAATTCAAAAAATAATGGCCTAGGTTCACATTCGTTACAAAAAACGGGTATAAGAACTTTCTGAATGGCTCCAATAAATTCAATGGGGAAAGAACAAATCCCGCCAAACTTGCACTACAAAATCGTTAATAGGAAATATTTAAGCAGCTTTAAAACAAAATGCTGAGTTTTGAAAATAAGATTTAGCAGCTTTAAAATAAAATGCTGACCTTGCAAAACGTATTGTGTATTTCACTTTTGATGCTTGCTATAAGCATCAAGATTAACCAGGCAAAAGAATGTAAAATTCCGAAGAACAATGAAGACATCGACTGGGATAAGGTATGTAGGCCTATATAATGAAATAGTAAAACCTTCACTTCCAGTCAATTTTTAATATATTTAAAACATTTTTCATTTTCCGCTTACACTTTTTTCAAAAATTTGATTAAGACAACATTAGGACTTCAAGAAAATTATCTCACAATAATATATCTGGTGATTTCAACCTCTTCACAGAACTCAACTTTCCAAATGTGTTAGAAGTTGAGATTTAGTAAAACACGCATTGCATAATGAAATTATTGAGTAGAAATTGCAAACCATATTGTTGTGTGCAGGTTAAGGATGACTGGTATCAGGGGCTACACACCAATGATGAGGTCATGAAAAAAGATGTTATAGGTGCAAAATTCCAGAATTACTCCAATACAAATGAAGGAATGCGATTTGTGGTTACTGAATTACATGAGAAGTAAGTTTATAATTTATTTAGATATCCTGGAACAAGTTTTAAAAAAAAAACAGCTGAAGAAATGACTTGTCACTGCAATATTCAAACTAAAGTAGGCTATACAAGTGAATTGAGTTACACTTGAATTGACAGATTAGCCTACTCAGTGTCCTACCCAAATCAAAGCTGCATTCAAAAACAGCAAATAAGTAATTGTACACTTTACTTTATTTCAGTTCTTCTCCCCAAGCCTTTACAAACCATTTGACCAAACGAAGAGACAGCGTTTATTATGCGAAAATGAGTGAAGGTATTATTTTTGAATATACATAACATATATAGCTAAAGTGAAATAAAAAATTCAATATTTTGATACAGAACCAGCTGTTTTGGCTTCACAAACACTAACACCAGATGGAGGAACAAATAATGAAGCTAAAAAAATAGGTAATGTACGATATAAATGAATTTACAGAATAGATTGGTGATGGTAAATACATTGACAATCAAAAAGTTAAACATTTTAATATTCAGATGATGCCTTATTCGATGGTGATATTCTGGCTCTATGTGATGAAAAGAATTATTTGGTCTATGCATTCTGCAGTCTCTCAGGTATTTTATGCCACTTTTCATTTAGTTTCAATGACAATTTACTTTCAGTAGCATTGATAGAACTCACAATAAAGGAAATTGAACTCACTCAAGAGTAAGTAATATAATTAGTAAGTAATAATAATCAGTAACTTGGGAGGTTCATTCACAAGGAATGCCGGCTCACTAGTGAAGGTAGTATCACATTGCATGTGAGGTGGAACTTGGGGGGGGGGGGGAAGCAACCAACTATAAGTGCAACAACATACCAGACTATCCTTTCCTCTCCAGGCTGTATATAAGACAACAAATATTCCAAAAATTCAATAAAGTGACATAAACCAATCGCATATATGTAGCCTATATTCATAGATCGATTTATGTCGGTATTTATATCGGGACAATTTCTTTTCAGATGAATGGGTTGTTTGGGTGGCATTTCCAAGCCTGAATCCAACTGCTCATCAAATTAGTTTAATGTGGAACAAGCTCAATGAGAAAGGAATCATTGTACAACTTTATCCTTCTAAAACTGTTGAAAATCCAGAGTTGATGGAAAGTTTGAAGTGACACGATCATTCAATACTAAGTTATTTATAACCTTCAGAAATCCATTTATTTAAATGTATAACACTGCAGTATACTATTTAGAACAACTAGTATATTCTAGAAAAAAAAAAGACAGTAAGAAAACTACTGGAGTACTTTTATATAGAATTTCAGGTCTTATGCCATGTCTCTTTCAGTTTTATTGTTATTATGTTGTGCTTTCTTCAAGTTGTATATTATACAATGAAGACATGATGCAAATGTTTCAACGCTCTTGTTGGCAATTTTGAACTAGAGGAATTCCAACTTTATCGTCCTTAATTTGATGAGATAATTTAGAAATTTAGTTCATTGTTAATAGATTCAAACAAAAATATAGTTGTTTGATATTTTGGGGGTGGATATCACAGTACATTAGATAGAGTACATATATATATATATTCATTTAAGCCTATATCTCTAATCGGATAAGTGTGTGTAAATAGCATTACAATGATAAAACATCAAAAATTAGAATATAATAGAATTCTACATATTTGTACAGAAAAAGGATTGGATGAAGGAACAATGCATGTTCTACATAGCCAGACAGTATAAACAAAAAAATTACGTATTCACATTGCCTTCTTTAGAAAATATAACATCAACAAGTGCACAAATATATGTAGGCCTACAGAATGCAAAATGTGAACGGACAGTCTGTTCTATCACTTGAATAAATAAGGATGTCAATTGCACACTTCCGATTTAACTATTATTGCTAAAATATCCGTAGAGTGTAGACTTTCCGTTGAAACTATTCATAACAGAAATATAAAATATCAGGAATTGCTGTAGATTTAGATAATTGTTATTACCAACAAACTCTAAAAGTTTCCAGGGTTATAAAAAGATGTAATTCTGTAGTTTTCATAAATAAGATTCAGCAGCCTTAAAATATATTGCTAACCCTTCTGAAACAGTCGCCGCGATTACACGCTCGTTAATAAAAGAGTCTACTATTTTAGCGCATATCGACTTTTTTGTCGTATAAAATATTCAATTCATGACAGCTACGAAAATCTAAAATTCATTTCTATATCAATATAATTGTGCCCAACATAACTCGTGGTTGCGTTTTTTGCGTCAAAATAAGAACATTACTACTCTAAAATACCACGTCAATTTATTGACATAAAAATATGAGATAAACATGCCTAATTGTATTTAGTTTTGATACTTATTTTTGCGACCTTGGGAATTCGTTATCAGTGTTTGAAAAATCTCAAGATCTGTAATAAAATCAGGTAAAGTACAATTAAACACATATGAAGTATATCAGTATATCAAAAACACATGTTCAAAACAATAGATATGATAGAATTTAAATGTTTGTACAAAAAAAGATGGATGGAGCCCCTAAATGTATTAACATGTTCATGGAAACGTGAATCTATTGTTCCCTTTCTGCCTCCTCTCTCATCGAAGTCTTTTTGTCTTTCTGCTTGTGTCTGCCTCATATTAATATGCTAATGCTATATAGTTGAGTAAAAGGCTATGTTGCACAGCCAACATGAGATGGACATAAATATTCCACTCCCTTTTTTTTTATCTTATTGCAGTGACTTGACTAAGAACGGACAATTCGAATAACTGAATCTGGGGGATCTGTTACTGCAATTCAGTTTATGCATCTTCGCACCATGTGGCGATTTTTGTAATTTTGATATCTAATTTAATATTCATAGAAAAGCAGTTTCTCTTGCGTCTGAATCTTTCTTGTTAGGTTATACTTGCGTTCGATTGCAAAGCACACATAAAAGTAGTAGGCACCAAGCACCGTAAATGTAGTCGGCATAATCAGAACTAGGACAGTGATGAATATGTCACTGCGAAGACTCGTTATTGCATCATTTTTGCATTTTCAGTTTTATGATCTAGTTAGCACACGAAAATTACTGGCGTTTTCTAATTGCAAAAACCTTCAGTTTTTGACAAACGCATCATGTTTCTTTTACATTTCATGATTTTTCGCACCCTATGAGTTGACCTGATAAATGGATGTAAACCAAAAACCAGATGTCGATGTTAGAACTTAAGATTTAATATTGTTTGTGATTTATTCGAATTAACTTACGCCTTTTAAAAAAATGGCAAAGTATATTGTAAAACAATTAAACAATGCATTATGCCATATTTATTCTGCCATTCCAATAGATTACGTATTTTTCAAATTTCGTGTCTACAATAAGTTGTCATATTGTCCAAAACCGGCACACGTTAGGTCAAATATTTTGGTCACCGATAGTTGAAAAAAATTGCCACTGTCATTCAATCATGTCCTTAAAGTTTCCTTGTGGGTAAGATACAAGTAGGTAGTGGACAAAGAGAAAGAATATGCAGTTCAAACCTCATATTATGGTACTGTGCATACAGAAGAATAATATTTTCAAAAATAGCAGACTTACTGATACTGAATTGTTGTTTGATATTTTTGGAGTGGAAATCACAGTACATTAGTTATAGTATACATATATATCTATTAAAGCTTTATATTTGTAAATGTATAAGTGTGTGTAAATAGCACTACGATGATAAAACATCAAAAATTAGGATATATGATAGAATTCTACATATTTGTACAGAAAAAGGATCGGATGAATGACAAATGAATAAACATTTTCTTGAAAATGTGAATCTATTGATCTCTTTTGCCTCCTCTTACAAGGAACAATGCATGTTCCACATAGCCAGACAGTATAAACAAAACAAAAAAATACGATACTCGTTTCCCACTGCCTTCTTCAGGAATTTTAACATCTTCACAACACCAATATATGTACAGAATGCAAGACCTGTAACAGACAGTCTGTTCTATGACTTGGATAAGTAAGGATGTCAATTGCACTCTTCCAATTCGAATATTATTGCTACAGTATCTATTGACTTTTCGATGCAATTATTCATAATCTAGGTAATTCTGAATTCTCACAAATTGCTGTAAATTTGGATAACTCACCAATAAATTTTAAAAGTTTTCAGAGTTAGGAAAGTACATAATTTTGTGGTTTTTAGAACTAAGATTTGGCAGCTTTAAAATGAAATGATGACCTTGAAGAACATATTGTGTATTTCACTTTTGATGCTTGCTATAGGCATCGAGATTAACCAGGCAAAAAAATGTAAAATTCCAGAGAACAATGAAGATATCGACTGGGATAAGGTATGTATACGGGCCATTTCAAGCAAAAGTTGAATTCCATCAATTTTTTAAAAAGTGTAGTGAAAGTAATTTTTTTTTATTTTTGATATCAAAGGCTTTGGAATTTTATTGGACTGCATTCATTTCATCGAACAATTTAAAATTTCACCCAGGTTTTTGATGGTTTATAAAAAATGGCCTGAAATGTAGAAATTTTGGTATAATTGACATATTTTGTGATGATTCCTGACACAAAGTGTTTGATTGTGTGGTACAGTTATTTCATATGGAATTGACACACTGGATTTAAGTTAGTAAAGTTTAAATGTTTGCAGTGCTGTAGGACATTTCTTCACCCATTTAACGATTTATTACCAGAATTTTAAGAGATGATAGATGCCGCTATTCCGAAGTGGAAAAATGTCCTGTAGTGTCTCGTCCTGTAATGTCACATACAATATGCACATTATTGGCATGGATTTACAGTGTTACATTAAGTAACTTGAGCAACACATAGAGGGGTAGTTCAGCTACTGCACCAGAAATTATTATGGGCTCCTACAGTACCATCACAAAAATTTACAGCACAACACAATGTACTGTTAGTGCATGGTGGATTTGCCGTCCTGTAGTGTCACGCTATATTTTACTATATTTTTTTTATCTACTAAGCAAGGTTGGGTGTAACTTTTGTGCAATTTTTTACATATTCAATAAAGCAACTGATTGGACAATGAAACAAAACATGTAGCTGAAAATGTAAAAATATATTGAATTTAACAACATGCAAAATTTCTGGAATTGTCCTGTAATGTCACTTGGAATAGCCCATATAATTAAATAGTAAAGCCCTAACCTTCAATCAATTTTTAATATATATGAAACATTCATTATCTGCTTACACTTTTTTTCAAAAACTTGATTAAAACAACATTAGGACTTCAAATACATTCATCTCCCATACTCCCAATAATATATCTGGAGATTTCAACATCTTCACTGAACTCGGCTTTCTTATTATTGTGCGCAGGTAAAGAATGACTGGTATTTGGTGCTACACACCAACGATGAGATCATGAAAAAAGATGTTTTAGGTGCAAAATTACAGAATATCTCTAATACAAATGAAGGAATGCGAATGGTGATTACTGATTTACATGAGAAGTATGTTTATAATTTATTTCAAATAAACTGAAAAAAGTTGAAAAAAAAACGAAGCAATGATTTAGCACTGCAATATTCAAACTAAAGTATACAAGTGAATTTAGTTACATTTGAATTGGAAGATCAGACTATTCAGTGTCCAACCCAAATCAAAGCTGCATTCAAAACCAGATGATATGTAATGGTACATTTTACTTTATTTCAGTTCTCCTCCCCAAACCTTTACAAGTCATAAGACCAAACGAAGAGACGGCGTTTATCATGGGGTAAAGAGCGAAGGTAATATTTTTAAATATACCTATATAGGTAAAATGAAATAAAAAATTCAATATTTTGATACAGAGCCAGCTTCTTTGGCTTCTCACACTCTAACACCAGATGGAGGAACAAATAATAAAGCGAAAATAATAGGTAATGTATAATTGAATTTAGAGATTAAATTGGCAATGGTAAAATACATTGACAATCAAAAAGTTAAAACATTTTAATATTCAGATGATGCCTTATTCAATGGTGATATTCTGGCTTTATGTGACGAAAAGAATTTTTTGCTCAATGCATTCTGCAGTCTTTCAGGTATTTTATGCCACTTTTCATTTAGTTTCAATGACAATTTACTCTCAGTAGCATTGATAGAGCTCACAATATAAGGGATTAAACTCACTCAAGAGTACGGCAAGTAATTAAAATCACTCACTTAAAAACATTCAAGGAGGTTCATTCACAAGGAATGCCTGCTCACCAGTGGAGGTAGCACCACATTGCACGTAAGGAAATTGGGGGAAAAGCAACCAAAAACTGCAATATCGGACTAAACTATTTTTTCCTCTCCAGGCTGTACATAAGACAACGAATCTTTCAACATTTCAAAAAAGTGACATAAACCAATTGAATATGTGTAGATTCCTAGAGCGATTTATATCAGTATTTATATCGGATCAATATCTTTTCAGATGAATGGGTTGTCTGGGTGACATTTCCAACCCTGAATCCAACTATTCATCAAATTAGTTTGATGTGGAACAAACTCATTGAGAAAGGAATCATTGTACAACTTTATCCTTCCAAAACGGTTGAACATCCAGAGTTGATGGAAAGTTTGAAGTGACAAGATCATTCAATACTGAGTTATAACGATGAACACAGATCTATCCAATAAGAATTATAATACTGCAGTGTAATATTTAGTACAACTATTATATTCTAGAAAAAATAAAGACAGTAAGAAAACTACTGGAGTACTTTTATATATATAATTTTAGGTCTTATGCCATGTCTCTTTCAGTTTCATTGTTATTATGTTGTGCTATATTCAAGTTGTAAATTATACAATGAAGAGATGATGCAAATGTTTCAAAGTTATTGTTTGCAATTTGAAACTAGAGGAATTCATTTTTATTCTTCACAATTTGATAAGATAAGATAAAAATTTAGTTCATTGTTAATAGATTTAAACAAAAATATAGTGGTTTGATATTTTGGGGGTGAATATCACAGTACATTAGATAGAGTATATATATATATATATATATATATATATATATATTAATTTAAGCTTATATCTGTAATCGGATAAGTGTGTGTAAATAGCACTACAATGATAAAACATCAAAAATTAGAATATAATAGAATTCTACATATTTGTACAGAAAAAGGATTGGATGAAGCACAAATGATAAGGCACAAATGAATAAACATATTCTTGATCTCTTTTGCCTCCTCTTCCACGGAACAATTCATGTTCCACATTGCCAGACAGTATAAACAAAAAAAAATATGTTTTCACATTGCCCCCTTCAAAAAATATACCATCATCAAGTGCACAAATATATGTAGCCTACAGAATGCAAAACATGAACAGACAGTCTGTTCTATGACATGGATAAGTAAGAATGTCAATTGCACACTTCCGATTTAACTATTATTGCTAAAATATCTGTAGAGTATAGACTTTCACGTTGAAACTATTCATAACAGAATTATAAAATATCATGAATTGCTGTAGATTTGGATAACTCACCAACCAACCCTAGAAGTTTTCAGGGTCATGAAAAAATGTAATTCTGTAGTTTTCATAACTAAGTTTCAGCAGCCTTAAAATATAATGCTAACCCTGACAAATATTTCAAAAAAGGTTTATTTCACTCAATTTTCAAAATCGGAAATTCCCATTTCCTTCTGAAACAGTCGCCGCAATTACGCGTTCGGTAACATAGCCGACTATTTCAGCGCATATCGACTTTTTTGTCGCGTAACATATTCAATTCATGACAGCTACGAGAATCTAAAATTCATTTCTATATCAATATAATTGTGGCCAACTTAACTTGCGGTTTTTGCGTCAAAATAAGAACATTACTACTCTAAAATACCACGTCAATCTGTTGACATAAAAATATGAGATAAACATGCCTAATTATATATAGTTTTGATACTTATTTTCGAGATCATGCTAATTCGTTATCGTCGTTAGAAAAATCTCAAGATCTGTAATAAAATCCTGTAAAGTACAGGTAAATACATATAAAATATAACAGTACATAAAAATAAATATTCATCGCCTCAAAATCCCAGCGGAATGACTTTTTCGACGGATAATCATGATTTTCCTGTTGTGCAAAGTAATCAATCCAGGACCGATACGGGCATGTTTAAAATGTCTTGCTGTATTAATTTCATTGTCTTCAATTTAACATGCGGTTGCGTTGACAAAATAAAAGCATCACTGCTCTAAAATACCACAGCAATCCGGGGAGATAAAAATGCATGGTAAACTGCCTGATTATATCTAGTTTTAATAAGTATTTTTGCCATTTTTCGAATTCAACAAATCTGAGCTGTACTTGCAACACTGACTCCGCTCTATCGCAATGCTGCTACTCAGATTATTTTCAAGATAAAATCATAAAACCGTTAGAAAAATCAGCTAAATCTCAAGTCTGCTATAAAATCTGATGAAGTAAAATTTATTTTAGTACAATAAAAATTGATTGAATACAGTTTAATTAATTATCTTGAATATCATCAAAAATCGGGAAAAAGTCGTGTTTCCAGCCTTGTATAATGTTAACACAAAAATTTTCAACAGCAATTTAAAGTAATGACTAATGAATAAAAAGGTAAACCCCGCTCACAATTGACTGTGTTTTGATTTTAGTGACGATATGGTTCCCTACGCCGACCAAACATAATACCTATAAAAGTTTTTTTTAATCTGTCGCGGGCCTCCCACAACAAAACTTACCTATATTGTTTACGGTTTTATTTTTGGTATTTTTTCGGCGCGGATTCACTCCTTTATTTGCTATAACATCTCGCCGCCGATGAATGTATAATAACTCTCACCGAATTCATAATTCTTTGCAAGTACAAAAATAAAGAAATTATCATCGTTGTGGGGCACAAATTTGTCTGAAATTTGTGATTTAGGGAGAATAACCACCAACAAGGTGCTTACGCCCTAAATAACACCTCTCGCATACGTAAACCCCCTTCATGGCTGGGCCATTGACCAAAATTATCTTCATTATGGAAAACTCGTCGAAAATATAAGACTCTGCAAAAACACACGACATTCAAGTCAAATTTACATACAAATCACCTGCTCAAGTAACTTTTCTGTTTGTTGTTTGGTGTCAATCTCTTTCCTATATTCATCTATCTCTTTCCTTGAAGATATTAATTCTGCTTGTTGAAAGGAATGTTGTTTTTGTACATTTAATAAATCTTTTTCCAACCTTACCAAAAAAAAATACAGACAAGAATTATTTTGGTACTTGCCAACAAGCAGGTTTTAACGTTTCTGGTCACCAGCACAAATCAATACAAATTAAAGAGCATTAGCACTAAGTCTCAATATCCTATAGCACAGGGGTCACCAACCTTTTCGAGGCCGAGGGCTACTTTCTCGGTACAGATTAAACTGCGGGCTACCAGTTCAATGTACACTTCTAAAAAAGTCAGTTGTTCGAATGAGCTCCAATTATTAATATAATTACTGGTATTTAGTCAAGTAGACCCACTAATAAACTTTAGGATTCTTCAGGAAATCAAACGATTATCACAACGTAGCAAATAAATTTCTATCAATGACACTTGCATTTCAAAACTGAGTGTTTTCAAATTGATTTTCAACACTCTGCACAAGTTTAAGATAAAATTGACTCAACAGTTGTACTATCAAATGTTGCAGAGTATTATACTCCGACGTGTAACTTGACACTGTGACTATGAGCGAGTCTCGCAGATTTTCATCAGTGAGGCGTGTTCTGTGTTTGTTCCTGGTGGAGTGAGTCGCGGCGCTGTGGCCCATTGTGTTAAGCGTTAGGTTAGCAGGTTAGAATCCCATGCGTGGATAGTTATGTACGAGAGGATTGCGGGATTCCTCGCCCCCGTAGGGTGGTTCACGTAACCGCTGGTCAGTTACGGCTTCCTTCGCCATCAAGTCCATGCTTTCGGAAACAAATAACTAACTAATCTCATACCCGACATGGAATGGTAACTGGACGAGAGGCCAAGGTTTGTCATATGGTTAAGCTGTCTTATCGGCTATCTTCTCCCCCGGGATAAATATGTAAATCTCCCCCTATCCTGAGTTGATGTCAAAAATGTTGATTCACAAAGATAGGCGGAACCAGACAATGGTCTCATAAAATAGGATTGCTGTATGATTTGAATTGCGAACTTTTTTTGCCTGTACTGCGCTGACCAGTGACTGAGTGGATAGTTAGCGCGGTAGATTGTGTGACAAGATGTAAAATATCTCTTCGCTTCGTGGTCGCTACAATCGCCCCACTAAAGAGACACACGAAGGCTGTTTTCAAGGTGGTAAAAATATAACCACTTCCCATTCATTGTGAAAATGATGGGTTTTTCATCGTTTTTCTGCCATTTTAAAATTGCTGCTCCACAAACCAACGGACAAGAAAAAGCGCGGGTTCGTGAAAAGTGATATCAGTGTGATGTCATATTCGGAAGAGTGTTAATTGACCCGTCAAAAATAAGGTTGATGGTTACAATAATTAATATAGTGTCATTTCCAGTCCCCATAAAAGTGTGATTTATACTAAAATAGCAGGACAAAATTTAATTGATGTAGCTTACTTATAAGAGCCGTTATTAAGCTTAGTTTGGAACAGACCTGCGGGCTACTCATATGGTCTTCGCGGGCAACTTGGTGCCCGCGGGCAACGTGTTGGTGACCCCTGCTATAGCAGTAAAAACAACTTCAAAACTGGGTTGGTAAAAAATGACTTACTGGTCTCTTTCTTGCTTGACAGAATCAAATCTCTGAGCTTTTGAGTTATATGTATGAAGGAGATCTCGCGATTGCTTTGATTCTGCTGATACAACATTGAGTTGAGTTTCTGCATGATTACGAGCTCTACATTCCTAGAAACGAAATAACTTACAATCTTACAAACGGTGAATCAAAATTTCCATGATGGTCATTAAATATATGAAAAAATAAATAATAAATAATACAAAAAAAAAATAAAATGAATGTAAACCGTCATTACTCAGCTAATTTTATTGCACATTACGAAACTGGTATATAATATGTTTACAACACAGCATCGAAACATTGTTTGGTATGGACGTCATGGATGGATGGCCCAAAATAATAGCTGCTTCGAAAAGAGAATATCGACTTATTTTAAATTAGGTCATGTTAAATAAAAAATACATAGAAATACATTCAGCAATTTGACTTTGGTTTACTTTATTTTAAAGATTTCAGAACTCGAAAAAGAATATATTTTTAAGTCATGCTGTAAGGAAGATTTTTCAAATGTAACTATTTAAAATTGTTAATAGCATCAAAGATTTATAATATATATATATATAAATTATAAATACCATAATAAATATAAAGTAATTTTCAAAGGACTTTGACAAACTTTTTACGAACTGCAACTGAGTCACTGAACACTGGTTAGAAAAAATATCTACCATAATACAGTGGATCTCGGAAGACGAACATAATTCGTTCATAACTCAGGATTGGTGTTAGACTACCAAATAGCAGGAGTACCAAAACTTTTTTTGCCATGAGAAACAATGGCAATTATTTTAATTCGTTCTCACGCATTCCAAAAAAAATAAAACATCATGTACCTAAAAAACAACAATTATTTAAAAGTGTACATAATAAAGATCAAACATTATAAGGATAAAAATATCAAAAATCTTGTATCAGTTACTGTATGTTTGAGCAAATTTTTGTGGGCTCTATGGGATTTGTTTTTGTGTGCAATGATATCAAATACTGCGCACCTTGTTGCAGTTCCGCTTTCGCATTAGTCATGAAGATTGCCACACCGGTAGTCTACAGATTGCATTGCACAGATTACTACTTCGTTTTGGCCTTTTCGAACATATTATATTTAAGCATTGCTATTTCGTTTAATGGTCAAGAGGCAGCTGAGATGCGTTTTTTTGGTGGACTACCCATTGTTCGAGTATAGAGTCGTTAGATTACGGAGGTACCACTGTATCTTAAATCTACAAACCTGCATAAAATTTTGCTCTGTGCTATTCAACTTGTGATTTAGTTGTGCAATTTCAACTGACAATTTATCCCGTTGTTCACGTAAATTGATGCATTCAATTCGAATTGGTGACATCACTTCATAAATTCTGAAAGCAATCAGATACAGGTTTAGAGTTTTTAGAAAGAAGAGGTTTAGACAAAACTGTGATCATATCAATAACTAAAGTTCAATATTTCAATAGTGATCAATGACTAAATTTCAGTGTAGACCTATTTTCTCCCTATCAAAATCAATCATGGAAGTTATAGACATCGCAGTGTACTACTGGACATGAATTGCACACAAGGAATGTTCTGCTGAATTGTTACTGTTTGGGGGCTGACATTTATTGTTGGAAGAAAATGGTTATTCTCCAAATTTATTAGACCAATTATTTTCAAACTTTCAGTTTTAAATATAGCTCAAGCCATTGGAAAGATTAATTTTTTTTAAACTCCTCCGAGCCTGATACACCCAAAATTTTGATTAAATGTAGCTGGATATGGCTTAAGCCAATAAAAAGCTAATTTTTATTTCAAATTTCTCTGAGCCTGATACTTCAGCCAAAATTTTGCTATTTTGTGAATATTACACCACCACGTGACAGTCCTGTGACGTCAGACCACTTCAACATCTTTTTGAAAGAGCCTGTGCTCACTGCCCAGCTGAGATTTTATTGGTACCAAATAGATTGCTGTTGTGATTGGATTTCATTCTATTATTTTGTATGATCAGATAATGGATTTCAATGTAAGTCGCATAGGCTACTGATTCTACAGTTAGTCATTGATTAGGAAAGTGTAAGTCATCCTTACAAGCTATTGACTGATGGTGTTTTTAATTTCTCTACACTCTGTACCTCATGGAAAAGAATTCTTTGAGAGACAACTTATTGGGAGGCATCGATTTTAACTCAATATATTCTTCCTCCGATATCTGAACATCTCTCTGGAGCTGATACTGAATGTCGGACGCTTTTGCTTGAAGTCTTTTATTTACATTTTCAAGCTCTTGTTGCCTGTAAATTTATAATTTAAACTCATAAATCTAAATTGTATAACAAGATGTTGCAGAATTTTTATCAGAACAGTTGAATATAAAGTCATTCGACTACCGAGGTGTCACTGTATTTACATGGAAATACCTTTCCAATATAATTTTCAGTTCCTTCTGAGTTTGTTGTTGCCTATTTCGAGCTTCATCTTGCTGAATTGCTAATGCACTTTCCAGTCTTGCTTGCAGAATCTGAAATGAACATAAAAAATTAGATCGAGTCCCAAGGATATATTATACCAGGGTTCTGCAATCTAGGAGGAATTCCTCTCAAGGGAAGAATTTTATTGTTTAAAGAGAGTGATTATTATTCTGTATTTGTGTCATTGTGTGTAATATTACTAATATTGTTACATATTACATTATTACAATAATACTTTCGAACTGCGCAATGTATAGTATTGCTAGTAATCCAAACAGGGTTTTTATGTATTACAAGAAGAAATGAGGAATTACAAAATAGGCAAAGGGAGGAATGCAATCAAAAAGTTTGGGAAAAACAAGGTCTGTTATACACTGTACAAATGCTACATAAACATAAACTAACTTTATGTCATCATATTTTCCCCAATAAGATAGAGTCTTTTTTAAGGGTGGGTCTTAAATTATTGAAACATCATGCAACTTCTTGTTTGATCTTTTTTCTGGGGAAGTACAGTAGTAATAAATGTTTTAAAGATAGAATATTGTATTTCACCTGTCTTTTATGCAGTGTGTCATTCAGTCTTTCTTCAAGTTCTTCTACCTTGCTCATATGATCTGCTTTCATGTTATCGATGACTAAATTTTTCTGAGACAATTCAATTCGAAGTAATTGAAGATCATGAACCATTTGTTTTCTTTCAAACTCGTGTCGTGAAACATGTCCTTATGAAAAATGAATCACAAATATATAGAATTATTGTGTTATAAAATTTATAATCAGACTGATAAAATAACAAATAGATAGGGCAATGCAAACATAAAATTTATCAAATATTAAGGGATAAATATACAGTCATTACAACAAAGTATATAATATAGCCTTCTATATTGCACACTTCAGAATGTCTACTTCATATATTTCTGTCATTCTATCAGGTTACTACCAGAATGTACAGACGTTGAAGAAAACCCTGAAGATGTGATCAATCAAGCACCAAGGATGCCCTAGCACCAGTAAATAGCAAGTTAAAATAGAGAATAATCTATTATTATACTTTAATTACCATGTTTATTGGTCTGATTATCAGCTCTAGAAATATCTCGTTCTGTGAGGTCACTTACACCACTGATCAAATCATCAGTGTCTAGTAATCCGCTCATGGCACTGTGAGTCTCTTTCGAATCTGGCTCAAGGAGAGCACTAGATTGATTTGAGGTTTCAGCTGCAACATTTGATGCCATTTAAATACTTGATTAAAAGCAGAATCGAATTATACTGAAGAAAATATAATAGTACAGTATTAATAATGACAGTATAAGATCTACACATATCTACTAGTCTACCCTGATGACAATAAGTACATACTAGATATATAACATATATACTAAGCATTGCTAAGTGTATAGACAAAAATATTTGTAACTTAACATTTGTAATTTATAACATATAGAAAAAATCTTCGTAATGTCAATAGAATTTTAAACACTTCCAATGTTTTTTGTTCTGAAGAATAGCTTTATTTATAAAAAATTACATAGAAAAATGGAGTCTATTGAATACAACAGAATACGTTAATAATAAATGGTATAATAAAGACATTCTAAACTTGATTTCAAATATTTGTATACAGCGAACTCATTATAGCTACTTCCTAAGAATATTCAAGTCAGTAATGTTCGTTAAAAATCAGAAAATTAGTTATATTTAATAATGAAATAAATTTTTAATTTTATCAATCGCCAAAATGTCTAGGTTCTCTAAATTACCGCTTGGAACATCAATTTGTTGCTATTGAAATTAGAGATAAACTTGGTAAATAAATTTTCAATTAGGAATTGTCTTTGAGTAAGTTGAGATTGAATAAAATAGATCTCAAGTTAAGAACAAGAAATGTATTTTTAGGATCACACGTTCTATAGCATTCTTGCAAATGCCTCCCCATCGAGAAAGCATCAAAGTATTTCCGATTGGTCTTTACTTTCGATAATTTTTGAAGAATAATGCTTAATTTTTCGATTATAACTGTGTTTGGTGATGAACTTTTATCAAGAGAGCCAATGGCACTCCTAAGTGTAGAAGAAAATGTGCGGAACCATTGTTCTGTGCTGCACTGTTCAAGGAATGCGGGCAACAATGCAGACTCCATTGACATTTGTAGAATGACATCGATTGCATCTCCTATCAGTGCTTTGTTTGCTCTGTATGTAACATAAGGCAGAACGATGTGAGTTGCATTGTAATCCAAAAATATTTTTCTGTTATTTTCATTTTTCAAATCCTTCTTCATTTGACCAAAAACATGAGCTAATACATCAACTTGATGTAAGGTCTTTAAAACAATAAAGCAACTAAGAAGCCTAATTTCAGGAACATTGCTACGAAAATATACAGAATTATCAGAAGCAAATTCTTGCGTTTTTTCTCCAAAACTAAGACTCTGTATACTGTCAACTGCAGTAGATGAAGCAGTTGTTGCCAGTATAAGAGAGGCTGACGAAGCTTTTCGAGAATTCAAAACTCCATGAGAAGGTTTGTATAGCTCATCACCTAGTCTACGTGTTGTTGAAGACAACAATGCATTTTGTGATTCATCGATGCGACACAAACAGAGATAGACAAATGAAAGTATTGATAAATGATGTTTTTTCTGTGTTGAATAACTAGGTAGGATTTTCACCACATCCACAAGTAGTGGGAGGATTTTAAGACATTTATCAACAGCATATTCTACACTGATTGAAATGGCCATGTCATTAGTGTCACATCTCTTCAAATGGACTTCTGATAACCAATCAAATGTTACTGACAATGCTTCAAGCATTCCTACAAACTGCTTAGGAGAAGCTTTTTCCGAAATTCTCTTCATTGTTGATGGAAACTGCTTTGCAACATTTTCTTTCTCAAACTTTGCATTCCCGGAAACAATATGAGTAGGTTTGCATGCTCTAAAATCTTGTCTTCTCTGAAGATTTTCCAGACGTTTAGTTAATTTCGAGTTCAGATTTTTCAGTTTTTGATTTTCAAAACCCAGAGCTGACAGTTTATTTCTAAATTCGTCATTTTGGTCTTTCATCATGTTGAAAGAAGTTCTCACACGTTTGACTTCACAAGACTTTTCAAGCAATGCTGCATTCAGTCTTTCAACCTCTAATTGATGACCTTGCTGTAAAAGGTCAATTCTTTCTTGAACCTCAAGTTCTACACCTTCTAATTTAGCGGCAATCTCTTTTGTTCTTTTCATATTCTGTAGTCCGAGAGAAAGTGAACGTTCTCTTTCCAATAACTCTTTTTCCTTTTCAAGCAAAAAAGCTTCTCTAATTGCAAGTTCCTTCTCTTGGCTTTCAAAATTTTGTTCCAGTCTATTTTCGATCATTTGTTGCTCAGCTATTCTACTTTTCTCAGTAAGAAGTTTTTGATAAATGCCCATCAGCTCAGAGTATATTGCTTTTACATCAACAGCAGAAATTTTATCCGGTTCGGCACACGAATTGAACTGACGCGATAATCCAGATAATGTTGTTTGATCATTCCACGATGATGGAATTACAGTTTCCCAGCATTCTGATGGAGAAGATGGGATTTTTTTCGATGCTATAGGTATTGTAGACGGCAAAGTAGTTGGCCATGTTAAAGCATCACTTTCGCTATCCGCAGCTGTATCTTGATTTGTTGTTTCATCAGTAATAGTAGCAGCACATTGACGATCTCCAGAGCCTGTAGAAGTTCGTTTGTCTTCGTCAGTAGGAACAATACTTTTCTCAAACTCGGCAATTGAACTTCTCAAATTATTTTCACTCAGTTTCAACGCTTTTCCTAATTCTCTCATTGCACGATTGTAGTGTTTGCGCTCACTTTCTGTCAGGGATGGATTGGGGGGTAGATGGGAAAATGGTTCATTGTCAGTTGTGTTCTGATCGGTTGTTTCCAAAACCTTTACATCAGTGTCATCATTTCTTTCAAGATATTTTTTCCGTAAATGTTCTATGTATGGATCCAAATGACCAACGATATCACTTGATTCTAATGATGATTTTCCGGACATTGGTTCGTAATTATAATACTATAACAGTAAGTCTGATTCTACAAAATAGTACAGTAGTAATAGGCAATTCGAGTGAAAAAACTCAATTTTTTTTTTATTTTACAGCAAAAATTATGATAATATTATCTGGTTAATTGCAATTTACAGATTCAATAAAGTTAAAACGATAAATGTTTCATGTGGCAATGAAAGTCTGAAGTCCAATATACAGAACAATAACTGAATACCGTAAAAGCAGGTAACTTCGGATGGTTTGTAACTTCGGATGAAATTTTCTAATCGTTTATATCTCGACTAAATTGCGTCATATTGTGCTTATGGCAGTTTCTATAGTGAGGACTTATATATCTAAATCTGTTATCATATTCAATCGCGCATTTTAATTTATTTTTTGAATAAAAAAATCATGTTTTAGCATAAAATTGACACACCGTTTTCGAGCGGCTCAAATTGTGACTTCTACTGATGCTAACTTCGTCAAAATAGCGTCATTCGTTAGAGGGCTTTATCAATGTATATAGAAAATTAGACTGACCGCGAGATGTCGTAGGAGACCCGATAAAAAATTAAAATTCGAATAATTTTTTTTATCACAATAATAGCATTCGACGCACACGTTGAACTTGACGTCACCCTGACGTCGCTCACTCCGAAGACGACTTCATGTTGCGTCGTCGTTACAGATTTGACGCCAGACATTCGGGCGCCGACGAGTTGGCGTAGATTTGAAAATAATTTGTTGATTGATCAATATCGGCTAAAATATGCGCATCAACAAATTTCTGTGGATCGTAAATTCATGGCGTCAAATGCTGGAAATGTAATTCAATTAAATTTATTAAAAATGGCAATTAACGAAAAGCATATTCATTCGTGTTGACAATTTCAAATTCCCCATTTGGTACGGCAACATATGGTTCAAAATAGAAAAATTGTAAGCAATCGAGAAATATTGCTTAAATATAAAAATATATAACCAGCGATAAATAACAACAATCATTGTTGCAAGTGAGTTCCGTTTCGTGAATTTAACGAAAGTAATTTTAATAAAGTTGCCATTGCCAATTGCCAAATCGGTGTTTTGTCGTGATTTATGCATGACCACCATTTAAATAGGTCAATTTAATAAAGAATCCAGTCATGTGCATGATCAATAATATATATTGTGCGACTATACATGGTGTGGAGTGTAAAAAATTCTATCAAAACATTATCGGCTACAACGAAATCGACTATGATCGGTGAATATTCGGATCTAAAGTTACGATAAGAGGAAATAAAACGAGACATTTTAGTATAAAAAGAACTTGAAAGTGCCACGCCGGAAATCCTACGGTCGACATTATCATCGTCACTCGCGACGTGGATTGAACATCTGGCATTCACGCAACGACGTAAAGCGTGTTTTGTCTTCACGCACGCACTTTTCGCTCTAGTTGCGGTGACGCAGGGAGGGGATACACCCACCCGAAGTTAGATATTTATTTGCGTCATTACAGATGACAGAAAATGAGACAATTAAGACAGAAAAAATGATCCGATCGCCGAGAAAATTATATGCAGATGCAGAGAATTACATCAATGTAATATATTTCAAGTTTGCGCGAATTGGACAACAAACGGCAGAGTTATTGATTAAAATATAGTGAAATCATCCGAAGTTAGCTGCTTTTACGGTACCTCAATCACCAAACTTGCTGTATACACATCACCAATCTTTCGATACAGAAGGAACGTCTGAATGTGATTAATGAAACTCCAGCATAGTCTACAGGCATACAAAGTTTTTATTTCAAAGCTAAATACGATCTATGATTTTTATGCAACATGCAAAATCATCAAGAACAACTTAAAAAAAACGAAATACCGTAAAACCGGCTAACTTCGGATGCCTTGTAACTTCGGATGAAATTTTCAATCATTCATATCTCAACTAAATTTCGTCGTATTGCGCTTCTGTCGGTTTCTATAGTAAGGCCTTACATATCTGAATCTGCCGTAGCCTCCAATCGCTCGATTTGATTTTTTATCATTCAAAAAATCATATTTTACCAAAAAAATGACACCGTTTTTTCGAGCGGCTCAAATCGTGACTTCTACAGACGCTACCTTCGTCAAATCACCGCCAAGCGCTAGAGAGCGTACACAATGTATACAAAAAAATACAGTGATCACAAGGTGTCGTACGAGATTCGAGTGAAATCGATTATTTTGATTTAAAAATTACATCAAAATATCGACTTTTTGATGATTACGTACAGCGTGACGTCAACGACGCAAATCCCGTTCTCTCTCTTCGTAGCCGACGTCACTTTGCGTAGCTCGTGCGTTACTCGCTGCGACATTTGAACGCCAGACATCGCGGCGCCCAGTTTTGTGAAATTTAAAAATTATGCTTATCCATGATCCTAGTCACTAAATCCTACAAAAACATCACTATCGTCTCAGTCATATGTTGTTTATTTAAAAATATGGGTATGCATACGCTTAATGCATATGAAATTTGTCGATTTTTGTTTTTGCATACTTCCTCCGACACCTTACTTGTTCCATATTGCTTTTTGATTTCAATTTTTACTTTTGCCAGTGTTTCATTCGATTCATCCGTTTATTTTTAATTGTCTAATTTTTGTTCATTCTTTACTTGTTCAATATTGCATTTCAATTTCAACCTACACCAGTGTTAGGTACTTTCAATTCTTCCGTTTTTTTTTTTTGTTAATCCTTTTCTTGCATTGAAAATGAACGATCATAAAAGAACGAACTAGCATTTTGCAATAAATTAGGAGTAGTTAGTGAAATATATACGAGTTATAATAATGGACACAAGAATAAATAGTTAAGCTTCGCGAAGCGGCAAGAGTAACGTCACGTACAAATGTCAGTATTCAACACGCAAGACAGGTCGTGGCGGCGTAAGGTCTATTCAGCGACGTTGTCACGCGTCATTGCTTACGCAGACATTTCTCTCTCACGACGAGTTGACGCAAAGAGAAAAGTGGCCATCCGAAGTTAGATAATTTTAGAATAGACGAATAAAGACAATAATTTCAATGAAAAAAGGCTTTGATGGATATGGAACCGACTTTATCAAGACGAGAATAGCCACAATGTATTATATTCCAAATTTGGCTTCAGTTGAACAACATGCGGCGGAGATATTGTTCAAAATATAGTGAAATCATCCGAAGTTAGCCGGTTTTACGGTAGCCTACAACCCTACCTTAAATTCAGCATTTGAAAAAATACCTAGAGATCTTTAAATTAATATAAGAATATTCTGATATTGACTCCTCCAAACGACATTCCAAGTTGTCTATACTTAGCCTACCTATTCCTGTATTCCCGTACCGGTACCAGCTTACAGATTAGTTTGACGAAATATTCACTTTAGCATTTCATTTAAAAGTTACGGTACTGGAATATTTACATTAAAAAATGCGTTTGCCTCATCAAAACACATTTTTCGAATTACGCTCCCACCGTCCTATGAAATGAAACCTTGAGATAATTAATAGAAAAAGGTATGCCTGATTACCAGTTTGGATTGCTGATTGCTGCACGTGATTTCACAACGCTCAAGACAAAAACGATTACAGAGACCAGGAAGAGGACGAGATTTCCAATTGCCGAATTCTGATTTAAAATCCCCACCGTTTTGTTGATTTTTTAACGATGTCACGTGAGTGTTTACCTTGTCACACATGGACGACTTCGGTTAGGGTCGATTTTTTTCAGATTTATCCCAGCAATGACATTAAACAACATGATGCGCAACTCCGGCATTTTTGGCCGAAGATCGTATTCGATAACACGCTCCAATGCACATACTTGACGAGACGAGAACGAGCGGATGTGTGCTGTTTTCAAGGCATAGCACGAATGGTGTTCGTGCCTGCTTTGACAGTTGTTGTCGATTTTAATGATATTTTGGAAAGTTGAGTTAAAAAGAAATCGGAAAAAGGTAAGATAAATACTATTGTTGTATATCACACCCGGGCATCGCACTATTAGGTGCATGTGGGAAAGCCAGCTTTTTCAAATACTACAAAGTTATTAATTCAGTACGGTACGTAGTTGCCCATTTGCCGAAATTGCATATTTACTTACCACTTATGGTTTCAAATAGTTCATGTACCTCCATTTAGATTTTTCTAACCAATGGGGATATATACGCATTGCCGTAACATACTATTGCTCAATCACTTTTATTTGCGTATTGATTCAAAGGGTTAACAAGTTCACCTAACATTTCACCCATACCGGTCTATATTGTATAGTATGATCTCTCAAGTATATGAAGCCACGAATGCCTGTAATTTTCGGACTAAACCCCTTCATTAGTTGGTTTATATACCAAATTAAGTAAAACATTTTTTACATTTAACATGAGCTATTGGATTTATTAACTTTTCCATTTTAAATCATATAGACTGCTTTAAATATTCTTGACGAAAATTAATAAATCTCCTCTCTTTCTTCAGACGTGAATGTTGTGGACAAATCTGTACAAGCATTGTGAGATTCCTGTAGCACAAGAGGCAATAGTAAAAATAGTAAGAATATCAATCAAGAAATTAAGTCGACATAGAGCAAAACTTTCAACTATTCGTCTAACCTCAATTTCCCATTATTCATTCACAGGACAACTGTAGCAGACGGGGAGATATCAGAAGTCTGGCGAAATTCCAAGAAATACAATTAGAGTACTCCATAAGTGTTTGCAATAGAAGAACAACCTATGGAGGCATGCAAAGACATTTGACCCTCCGGTAGAGTTGTGTATGGGTCTTATTTGTAAAAAGGCACAAAACACGCCAGACATACTGAAAACAGCTTTGGAAATGTAGATTATGGGTCACTCACTACACCATGTTAGAATTGGTTCCATAAAATTTTGTTAGTACTATAGAAGAAATTCAGGGAAGGGTATAATCATGATTCATGATAAAATACTGTTCAATATTTTGGACAACTTCAATATAGACCAGGGATGTCAAACTCGCGGCCCCAGAGAACTTCCAGTGCGGCCCTCGAACGCTAAACAATAATTGTAATA